AGACCAAACTCACTCACGAGTCAATGTTGTTTTATACTGTGGTTGGTAACATTGCATCGGTAACATGGCGGCTTATTGGAGGACATGGTTGAGTCCCGGCCACACTGTCCCGTAGTGAAGCATCACAGTGAGTGAGTGACTTTCATTTTACACCACACTCAGCAATATTCCAGCTACATGGCGAAGGTCTGTAAATAATCGAGTCTGGACCAGACAATCCAGTGATCAACAGCAGGAGCATTGTTCTACGCAGTTGCGATATAATGACGTGTCAACCAAGTCAGCGAGTCTGACCACCCGATCCTGTTAGTCGCCTCTTTCGACAAGCATGGGTTACTGAAGACCAATTCTAACCCAGAGCTTCACAGGTTGTCCAGGGGTAGACATACAAGGAGAGTTTTTACAACCACACAATCCTATCAGTTGGCTCTTCAGACAAGCATGGACAAATGAGGTCCCTTCTGCTCTTGTATATCTGTAGAGTAGATTTTTCAAAAGTTAATGTTTTCAAACATTGGATTTAAAAGCCATCATGGAAACAACTTATTCCCCCGTGCCATTGCTGAAGTGAAATGAGATACAATTTTACAACCAAACTGTAATCTCTTTTCAACAATCCGGAACATTTTGTCCAGAGCTGTCTCAGCATAAGACTCTTACATGTGCAGGGGCTCTGAGAGTCGTAGCGCTATGATCATTTTGTGGATGTAGGACCTGGCGCCCATGTTTGATCTTGGTGTTGATGTTGTAGCAGTATGTCAACATGTAACTATTGTCTCAGACCAATCAGGGCACCCATCAGCTGCCAGATTATTATTCATTGTAAGTTCTAAACTTACAAAATGTGTTTTCAATGACTTCAGTCAAATTTGCCATGGCTGTTAATTGTCCCATGCCAAGTCCTCATTTAAAAGCAATCAAAACTGAGGCATGAACAAATGAGTGGTGACCGAGAAGGTAACAGTATCGTGCCAGTGCTAAGGACAATCTGTATGAGAGATGAGGTGCTCTTGATATATTGATCAGCCGATAATGCCTCATCTTGGAGCAGGTTGTGTTTCACAATCTGTGAAGCCAGACAGATTTTCCTTCCTGTAATTAGCCTTGCAACATTAGCTAGACGTATCTGCCTTCAGTATTCAGCGACGAAGCTGAGAACGATGCTCTTGTTATGCAGGGTTTTCAGGTACAACTAATTACGATTTTTTATGGCATTTCTTCAGGAAATGTGTTGTTGGTAACTATATCATGTTTAGATATGATGTCCCTTGTGACATGCCTGTAAGATTCACGCCGATATATATATGATCTTTGGTTTCACAGTATACATATTTTTAGTTAACCATAAATATGTAGTTTGTCAAGAGTTACATGGTTTTACACAACTTTTGGTGATATTCCAGCAATATCATGCAGGGGACACGAGAAATGAGCTTCATGCATTGACCAATGTCGGAATTGAACCCATATCTTTGCCGTTACAAGCCAACACCTTAACCACTAGGCTACATTACTGCCCCTTATAGTTTTCTAAGGGCAATTAACATCTACAAATGATTATGATGTTTGTTACATTTTCAACAGTCGAGTGCACATTGTTTTGTGTCGACCCGGATTATGCTCTATCGTGTCGGGTGTAATCAAGTGGTTGCTAGTATGAGCATTGATACCCTTCATAAGAATATGATACAACCCAATCTGACAGGTTACACATTGTTTTTAAATACTCAATCCTCATATTAGTCTTAACAAGCTTGAGGGGCAGTGGGGTAGCCTGGTGGTTAAAACCTTAACTCGTGATACTGAAGACCCGGTTTCAATTCCCCACATGGGTATAATGTGTGAAGCCCATTATTGTTGTCCCCCGCCATGATATTGCTGGAATATTGCTAATGTGGCATAAAACCAGACTCACTCAATCACACACTTAACAAGCTTGGAGTGCTGGTAAACTACTGAGTCCCAGAACCCATCAGGCAATTGAGTAATCATATGTGGCAACCAACGGCTGATGTCAGCATCAATCTTCAGGCTTCATCTTTATCGCATCAGCTAAAGCTAGTGACCGTCTTTCCAATTAGGAGCCATGCTTTCAAGTCGAAAGTTGTTATAATTTCTGTGTTTAATAAAAACTGATGATGCTCACTGAAGCTGTCTGTCAAACAAGGAAGAGCTTAGGGCAGTATGTTTTTATACTAAATGTAAACTATTCTCTCTTTTTTATATCGCTGAAGGAAATTGCACGTTGCTGAGTTTTTTCATCGCTGTGAAGGAAATTACAGTTTTATGTGATTTGGCAATCTGATTCTAAAAGTGTCGCGCACATCGTTGTAAAAAATCAACCATTTTCTGTTCATGCGCAATGCGATATGACAGATCAGACAATGTCTGTCTGTGTATTTTGTTTTAGTATTTGTTTTTCTTGCGCCATGTAGAAGATAAATCTGTTGTATTGCGGTCACGAGGTTATAATGTCCTTAAAGGCCTCGCCAGTCGTGGTCGGAATATGAACCGTATGTTCCTCATATCTTCATGGAGAGTTTGGGTCAGAAAATGTTTACTGCAAACTTCGTATTTTGTTGGAGGTGCCTCAATCACATTAATGAATTGAGTGGTCTCTACAAGGTTAAACAAAAATAAGCCAGAACATTTGCTTGTTACATTATATATGGGTGACTCCAGTAGTGATCCTAAGGGTCTGTCCCGGCCTTACCAAGGGATTTGAAAGAAACTGTAACTTTGTTCAAAATTGGGATTTTTTCAACTGTTTGTTCGTTCAAAGTTATTTTAACATTGCTTTCAAAGCATATGTGTAAACTTAACCAAAGTTTATTGGTTGTATTATCAGAAAACATCAGTTAAGCTACTAGGCGTTAATACCAAATGTTATAATTGTAACTGACGTTTGTAAACTCCAGCAAGTATCAGCATCAGAGCAGACATCACTATACATGTATATTGGTAGCAGAGGTGAAGATAAGCTGCATATGTGCGTAAATTACGCAAATATCAATGTGAAAACTCATTTCCTGTTAAGGCTATTGCGTACAAGTACGCTTGAATTTTTGTAAATACTCAATAAATGTGATCTTACATGCATACACACAAAAATGTCAAATCTTTATTATAAGCTTACGTACCGGTGGATAGATAAAATAACTGAAGTATATTGAGAGGTTCTATTTCAGGACATGAACTCGAAAACTTGCAGTCTTTCTTATCGTTTCTCATGTTACAGATCAAATATAATAACAAACACTAACATGTAAACTTTATTTCATTTTTAAAATTAATGGAAAATTGCAAAATACCCAATTGAGTTTGAGTGAGGTGAGTACAATTTATTTGGTTACTCAAAGGAAAATTAGGATACCCAATTGAGATGAACACAAGCGAGTACATAACTCAATGACCGAAAAAGTTATCTGTAGCTCTCAGGCCACAGTGGTGTCCTGCAGAGTGTTTGTCAACATGCTCCACTGACATGAAACAATGGTTCTGTGATCTGTGACAGTGTGTGATGTGATTAATGCTGACCAGTTGGTACTGCTGACCAGGCTCACTGTTGCATGAAACAATGGACCAATAATACACAGATGGTTGAACTTTGTTTTAAAGTCATACGTTCACACCATCAGCCATTACTGCATTATGAGCTGAACAGATGTTGACAGGCGTTAATGTATGTGTCAGTAAGTGTGTGTTTAGTACTTAGACAAACGAGGTCATTTACGTTGTAAAACAAACAGCAGTTTACTGTTTTTACGGAAAGAAAAATGAAGAATGAAACCGTGTTATCTGACAATGATGAACTCCTTTGATACAAACCAGAATCTGTCTTTAACTCTTCTAGAGCATATTTTGATAAATCTTTATTTGATGTTGCTGGAGTGAGCTGACAGATGTGATGCTGTGTGCAATCACTAGACGCCACTGTGGAGGACATGAGTGCAGCGTGTCGCCATCGATGTGATGCACAGTGTTATATCATGTGCATTTGTCTTGTGATAGTAGTAGCGGCTAAATGAGAGAAGAGACGGTGATTGGACAGAATCAGAGATGATTAAGGCTGGTCTAAGCCACTTGTCTCACTGTCTCGAGACTGGTAAAGATCTTGATGGACTTGTGTTCTTTCAAAATTCTGTCACATTACATAACTCATAAGAATGAGATGAGCTGCTGACTTGTTGAACACATTCATCTTCAGCAGTTGTTCAGGAGTGCTTGTCTTTACTGTAGGGGCAGTTGAGTAACCTAGTGGTTACAGCGTTCGCTCCGCATGCTGAAGACCCGGGTTTGATTCCCCACATGGGTACAATGGATGAAGCCTGTTTGTGGTGTCCCACACCGAGACGATTGCTGAATATTGCTAAAAGCGGTGTTAAACTAAACTCACTCACTCACTTTACTGTGCACATCTTCAGGGAGTGCTTGTCTTTACTGTACACACCTTTACTGAAAACAAGTGTTCCTGTTGCGGTGTTTGTGTAGTTGATGCCAGGCCTCCTGTTGGGAGCAGGGTTTATGTTACTGTGCATGTTGTAGATGTGGCCTGATCTGCGTCAGGCTTGGTGTCATGGTCAATGGTGTTAAATGATGACCCATTGCTCAGTAACTTCACTCTACACAAAAAATACAATGTTTGCAATATTATGGTGTTTTCACCTGTTAATTGTTAAGTGCCAAGAGGGGTGTAGTCTTAGAAAATGATCTCCTCTAGAGCTTAACTGAATCTGCTGAAAGCATTGTCACACTTTATTTACATGGCATTAAGATGTACAGGAAGATGAAATTCTTCAAAGGCATTTAGAAGTTGGTGTAGTATTACAAGAAAAATTTATGGATAACAACTCCTTGATTTTTTTTTTTTCAAGTAATATTTCAAAAATAAATCTAGAAGCTGTTATCCATAAGGTTTGTCTTGTACTACAGGAAGATTGATGAGGAGGTGCAGATGTTTTGTCCAGACAGTGTACTGACCAGACTGTGTTGTTTTCCAGACTTGACCTATGACATGATGGAGGATGAGCTGACCTGCCCAGTGTGTCTGGAGCTGTTTGCTGATCCTCTCATGCTGCCCTGCTCTCACAGCATCTGTAAGAAGTGTCTCCAGGACATCCTTGACAACAGACTCAAGCTGGGCAAAGAGGGTGAGACAATCAGTTTCCACGCTTCAGGTTATAGGTTAATACAAGATGTATGCACCCATTGATAGATGCATGTGTGGCTAGCAATACGATGCATGTGTGGCCAGCTGTAGGATGCATGTGTGGCCAGCTGAAGGATGCATGTGTGGCCTGCTGTAGGATGCATGTATGGCCATCTGTAGGATGCATGTGTGGCCAGCTATAGGATGCATGTGTGGCCAGCAATATGATGCATGTGTGGCCAGCTGTAGGATGCATGTGTGGCCAGCTGTAGGATGCGTGTGTGGCCAGCTGTAGGATGCATGTGTGGCCAGGTGTAGGATGCATGTGTGGCCAGCTATAGGATGCATGTGTTGCCAGCTGTAGGACGCATGTTTGGCCAGCTGTAGGACCAAATGGAGGATACATGTGTTGCTAAATAAAGGTTACAGAAGGGTGCACATGTGACAGAATGAAGCTCCATGTGGCATGTGTGGCCATATAAAAGAGCCATGTGTTATCAAATGAAACAGGTAGTTAAATGAAAGAGGGGCATGGTAGAGTCGTAACCAGATATTCCCATCATTATGATGCATAGTCACTTGTATGGTGGGCTAGATTTTGCAAATTTATTCTGCACACTGAGAGTCTGAAAGTCAGTGATATACACAATTTCCTTTGCGAGATGGAAAATGGCATTGATTTCTTTTCCCAAGAAACTCTGTTAATAAATATTGTTTACTCATGGTCATCCAGCATTCAGTTCAGTATTTTTCTATCCTTCTACAGATGTGGAGTGTCCGTCTTGTCGGAAGTCGACGGCAGTGGCCAATGAGAAGTTGATGAGTCTGCCCAAGAACCTGGCTCTTGAGAACATTGTGTTCCGGTTCCAGGAGATTCAGAGCTCTAACCTCACCAAGAGCAAGAGCCTTGACCTTGGAACAAACTTTCAACTGAACACCTCATCTGATGACTGTGATGTTCCCGTGTTTCCCGAGTACATGAGCAAGGATTGCGGACTTTGTGATTCCAAGTCCCCAGCCAAAGCCACCTGGTTCTGTCAGCAGTGTTCTGTGTTGTATTGTCAAAAGTGTCTGCAGACATATCACCCCAAGAGGGGACCTCTGAGTCACCATCGAGTCCGGAAACCTTCCAAGGTGGAGGTTGAGGAGAAACCTGTGTTTTGTTGCGACCATTACTCGGAGACTACCAGTATATTCTGTGATACGTGTAAGGTGCTGGTGTGCCATCTGTGTGTGTGCGAGGGAGTGGGCAAACATTCAGGTCACAAGATCCTGGCTCTTGATGCCGCTTGGAAGCAACTCAGGGTGAGTTACCGCTTGTTGTGATGTTCAAAGAAAATTGCATAATGCAGTCGGCTGCAGTTATAACAAACTGAAATAGACCACTAATTTTATAATCATAGTTTGTCATAATTGTAGTTTGTTATATGTATTTTTACTAACATATATTATATCTAGTGGTGTTCCAATTAAATGAAATAATCAAAGATTGGTCACAGTGACAAAACGACCAAGCAAACGATCACATTTTCTCATAATCGAACACAAACAATTTTGGAACTACTGCTTTAGTGTTTGAAACACTTTACGATGGAACATATCTCAGAAATTGTCATCTCCTGAAAACATGCTTAATTCTTAAAAAACTCACTTCACTTACTGAAAAGTCATGACTGAATATTTCTTGAAGACTCCAGGAAGTATATTTTCATGATATACTAGTCATCACTTTAAAGTAGCAAGTTGCGTCATTTTACATTGGATGGGTACAATGTGTGAAGCCCATTTCTGGTGTCCCCCGCCGTGATATTGCTGGAATATTGCTAAAAGCAGCATAAAACCATACTCACTCACTCACTCTAAATAAAACAAAAAACAACAGAGAACATGTTATACTTATCTGCATAGGAAAATCTAAAAAATGACACTAACTAATTTTTTTTGATGATTGATTGTTGCTAATGAACCAATCATTCTTAATCTGTGAGTTCTGTGTCCCAAATTAATATGAATATTTATGATGTTCTGTGTCCTGTAACAATTACAAAAGGGTGTTAGTAAGAAAATTATAAGAATATCATTTGCTAAAATTGGAACATCTTTTAGATATTTCTTTGGCCAATAACCTAAATCATCAACCTGAATGTAAGTGTATTTCTACAGTCAGGAACATTATGCAGCATTTATTCAGCCAATCAGTGTCTGAGGATGCAAAAAGCAAAAACATTATGAAGGTGAACAGAATACTGGCCTTTCTTGTTGCAAAGTCTTGAGAGGCTCCAGTTATGGGACAATTTCCTTTGAGGAATGATGATGAGTCACCAACACCATAGTATGGTGCCACAGTTATCTGCATCTGTTCTGGTTGGCTTTGGGGAACACAAGGTTGACACTTCTTTGGAACTCATCCCGACTGTTTCTTTTTCAGGAATCTGTAGTACATTCCAAAGAGAGGCTGGAGTCCATGATGACCAACTTGACGGAGCAGAATACTCGACTGGACGAAGTCACAGATGAAATAGAGGTATGTTCAGATCTTGTGCAAGACTAATGACATCAGGATATTTTTCAGGGTTTTATACTTCGATTTAAAACCATAAACTTCAGTCCTAATTTCCAACAGAGATATCTGCTCTTAACCATACAAATTTTGCAATGAATTACAAGTTTGAGATTGAGAGTAAAATAATGGATAGTTACAGTTTGATTTTTGGTTATTTGATGTAGCCAGGTTATGTTGGTTTTTAAGGTTATGTGATGTAGCCAGAACTCTGTCCTCCCAACTCATTCAGTAATGAAGCATCAATGAGAATTCAAGGTCATTCCTTCTTTGTTCTTCCCAATACAGCTCCTCCATAAACTGGCGAGAGAGAAGATCGAGAGGCAGCATCGTTGTCTGCTGCAAGAAGTCACGCAGGCCCTGGACCTCCAGAAGGAGGTAGTCCTGGCCAGCATCGGGAAGCAGCAGTCCCTGGCCAGCCTGCAGTACCACACCCAGTGTGATGCCAACAAAGCGTTAGTCAAGTCCATGGAGAGTCTGGCAGAAGCCTGCAAGAAGCTGCTGGATGAGGAACACACCAAGGAGCTCCTCCAGAAGGCAAAGGATGTCAGTCCTATCGTCACCAAGGTGGACCAGTTGTCTAAAGAGTGAGTAGCTTCATGGTATGGGTAAAGTAAAAGTGGGATGTTATCAACATACTCGCATGTGTGTCTAAGTGTCCTAGTAAAAATTGGAAATAAATATGTCTATGCAATTAGAGTGTAGGCATCACTATGTGGCTTCTAAAGTCAACATTAAGTCAGTTTTAGAAGTGCTGTAGTTTCATTGTTTGTTGGTATTTTCCTATTTCAGTACTCAGAGTCGTGATGCATCCTTCAAGAGTCTGGTCACCCATCAGCCTGCACAGCAGGATATACGGATGTCAGTGCTCAGGTTCCGATCACTGGCCTTTGATAGTCTCAAGTGTTTTACTGGTAAGTTCTTTCTGTGGCACTTTCGGGTTAATGGCTGAAGCAGTCACCTCATGCACCACAGTTTGCTGTTCAGAGTTGCCTCCCTTAGATGCACCGTATCCATATCTGTATGACCACATTTCTAGGTTTGTCAGTACCTTCCTCGTACATGGTGAGTATATAACTCCTGCATCACTTTCCGCACACACTTTGGTACAACTGAAATACTGTTTAGTGTTGTGTTAACTTCCAACTTGTTTAAAGCAGTGTTAGTTCCAACTTACTAGACTAACAGGATCGGGTAGTCAGACTCACTGACTTGGTTGACACATGTCATATTATAACAATTGCGTAGAACGATGCTCATGTTGTTGATCACTGGATTGTCTGGTCCAGATTCGATTATTTATGGACTGCTGGAATATTGCTGCAATATTGCTGTAATATTGCTGAGTGTTGCGTTAAATACAACAAGCCAACCAACCAATCCCACTTGCTCACAACCATATTCTCAGGGTAACCAATACACTGGGCTTCAGTCAATGGAGGGGTACCCGTAAATATTCAGGTTAGAATTGGTCTTCAGCAACCCATGCTTGTCGTAGGAGGCGACTAACGGGAATTTGTGGTCAGACGGGTTGACACATGTCATTGCTAAGAACGATGCTCATGCTCTTGATCACTGGATTTTCTGGTCCAGACTGTATTATTTACAAAACAAATAGCATAATTAAGGCCAGGAGGAGAGACTTTCAGTTTATGATGTGTATCATGAGATGATTTGCATGTCAGGGGCATTTAATAAGCTTTGACTACTGATCAAATCTTTCAGCTCAAGGAGACATTTCTTAACAGGTCAGATATCATGGTTAATTTTTCCCTTCAATGTAAAATCACTAATTAGTACACCACGAGTTACCTCCCTTCCACAAAGCGGCGAGAACAGGGCTACCACTCTACCCATGTGCCTCACTCTCTCCTTCTTAAGCCCAGTGAGCTGGGGCGGTGAAGCGCCTGTGTCTCCGACACACTATATCCTTTGATTATATTTAGTTAGTTACCTGCGTGATAGAGATCTATAGAGGTTTAGCTAGTATCTTTCAACAATTATATATTGATATTTAGTCGTGTTTCTACTGTTTATGCACGGGGCCCGTGCTGTTGCAGTGGATTACGTTGATAAAAATTCTGTACTGTTGCACATTACGTTTTTATTCTGCTGCTGATCGCATTTAATATGCCTTAGCTGTACTAGCGCCATGTTTCATGTGATTCACGTTGCAGATTCGCGATACTAATTTATCCAATTCTACCTTTAATAAATAATTACTTCGCGTTTGAGGCAGCCGCAGCAGATGGAGTCACATTATGCAGAGTCTAGCATGACTGATACACCTGAACCCTACGCCAGTCTACTGCTGTTGGTGCCCCCCCTCCCGTCTGGTTTTCCGCTAGAATGGTGGAAGCGTGGGGACGTGAGTCCGCCGCCTCCAGAGCGTCCTGCTTCCCCAGACATCCCTTCGTCGCACTGAGGGGTATTCAGCGAAGTCTACTAGAACTTTCTCAGCCGAGATTGTTCTCATCGCAGATTTGGGCCTGTATGATGATCAACCCGATCATCATTCCTGATAATACATCAAGAATGACTGATGTGCGGCAACAGTGATGTCGGCGCAGATCAACATTCGATGATCTTCCTGAGGGTCCCGTTAAGCTACCAACACTCAACGCGGGCTTAGCACCCCCAGGGCGTGGGCGACCTCTGAGGGGAATTCAGCGAAGTCTACTAGGACTTTCTCAACCGAGATTGTTCCAGCCGCTGAACTTGGCCTCGATGATCAGCCGATCATCATCCCGACGTATGAGACAAGTAGCGACCGGTGACAGCTACAATGACATCAGCAGAGATCGTCATGCAGCCTGATGTCTCTACACTGATGTCAGGCGACTTACCTGAGGGCCCCACCACTAACAGCGCAGAGATGGCACCGACTACTTCGGCATGCGAGACCATCCCAGACGAAGCTACTACGGCAAATCATGGGTGGTGATGGAGGATCACTACAGACTGGAGAAGCAGCCAGCCGAGTACGAGCCTTCGCGAGGCTCCAACTTAACAACACTCTAGAGGCACCTCCAGTCAGCGTAAGCAGCCAAGGCGATGCAGCCTTCGCCGGGAAGTGCTTGAGACCACCTTGGCCGAAGGACCCAGATGTACAGCCTTCGAAGGCCTTATTTGGCGGCGGGATAGATCATCACATTCGGCTTCATCCTTAGATGCAGACTCAGCCACCAGACCTCCACGGAAGCCTTACAGCGGCTCAAATCGCCGTTCCCCAGCACGAGCGCATGAGGAAGCTTCGCGAAGGCGTTCATGAGCGTTAGCGAAGGCATTCGCGAAGGCACTCGGGAAGGACACCCGAATATAGATCGTCATTTAACAGAGTCAAGGGACTACTCAAGAGCTTCGGGCGAAGCTGTCAATAGTCTCCGATCTCCTCGCATACATCACCACATCGATCGCCTCACAGGTTACCACACAGTCTGCACACAAGTCTACATCACCTTCCTGAGGTGGCAGTACGAGCCGCGACATACCTGATGAAGGAAGACGGCGCAGATGCTATCACCCTACCTCCCGATCGACCGATTGCTCGCGGTAGCACAGAATCTAGACATAGCATCCCATAAAGCCACAAAAGTTCCGAACACCATAATTGCCGAACTTTCACGCCTAGAAGTTTTCCACGCACAACATGGACCCTTCTTCAGGCTTAAGACATCGATGAAAACTACAAGTTGATCATCGATATCAACAATAAGAACTACAATGTAAATTGGTTCAGTTGAATCCATGGCCGAAGGCGTATGTTCGTTGGCCTAAACTCGTCTAGAACGATCATTGAGACACTTATCACCAGATTTCGTAACACTCGACTTCTGAAAATGATAAGATGATCCACTCGACCCTACTTATGCAGAACCAGCAAGTCCCAGGCCGCCTCAGCGAAGGAGCCTAGAGCCTCACCAGCTACAAAGGGGCGTCGGCGGAGGAGTAGCGCCACGACCCACATCCTGTTAAACACAGAGGCCATTCGCTGAAGCAAAGCTCTTATATATATATATATATATATATATATATATATATATTCTAATCGGACTTTATTTCGATACCTTCCGGCGAAGATCACGCGAAGGCTAAGTGGCTTCAAGTCTACTTCACCAGTAGATCTAAAGGGATACTTCAGAAGCTTCGTGGAAGTCTCGGCGCTCACCGAGTCTCCTCCACCAAGTCTCCATATACTAGCCACTTTCGTCATATATAGCTACTCCTCAGTCCGTTCAAGACATCGCATAAGTTGTCTATCAACTGTATGCCAGATGCCGCCTATAAGCCCTCCTACGCGAAGACAATTGCACAGGCTATTTACAACACAGAACGTCGCTGTATTAATTTTGTCGTAACGACGTTTCATGAGATCTTCACAGAAATCAACTATTCCGTATAAATTGCTAGTATATGCAATCTCGGACGACGATCACGATTATCTACGTATGTGACCATTACGCATATCTGCGAACAATTCAATATCGGGGAATTGAACAGCAGCCTTGTTACAGCCAGTATAACTCATAATCGTCAACATTTCTGAGAAGAAATATGTACAACAAATTCAGCTTTAATTCTACAATTATGACGATACATTCATGTATACAGTCTACAAGCTGACAACTTTACAAGTTATTGTACCTTTATATAAAAGAAGTCGGAATTATATTCAAAACTGAAGTACTTTCCACGACAGCCAGGAAAATAACCTGCACCCAGCATTAATATTACAGGCGAGGTTATTTTTGCTACCGGCTTTGTGTTTACCATTAATCTCGAAACACGTGGTCACTTTCGGGTAACTTCGAAGTTGACGATGAAGACCGACGATTGTTCTAATATCAGCGACGCTACTTGCATTATACAAGGTTCCTTTTCCTGCTACACCGGTGACATCACAGCAGCTGGGTACTCTACAGAATCAAAATGCCTTATTCTGATTGGACCCCGATGAACAACGCCCGACACAGAGGTCGAGCATAGTTCACAGTTCAAGACATAGGTTGCAAGTGACAACTTTATATCAATGAACGAATTGCAAGCCTCCTTTACAGCCCAGTTAACCTGAACCTTCGCTTGATTAGGCTGCTTTCTTCAGGTTAGAGACCTCCCCTGTCAAGTTTAGACAAGGGCACAACAGTTAGTCAAGCGATTTTACATAAAGTTCATCGAGGACACAAACTCCGGTTGTGCACATACATCGCCAAGGACATCGCAACGATTTACCTGAGACGACCGATACAAGTGGATCGAAATCCACAGCGTTTCAGACTACACCTGAATTTCATCATCAAGCTACTAACACAACTAGATGGTTAGTAAACCTACTAAGTTTCTGTTTGGAGAATAAACGGAAGTTTCCACGCGTATCAACTTGGGGATATGAATATATTGCTACAACACCTCACAAGTGAGGTTTATGAACATGCCTGGATGACATACTTGGACTCCATGATCACGATGATGCTATCACGCTGGCCAGCAGAGCACTGTAAATTTACCTCCACCAAAACCAAACAGGAAGAAAAAATACAACAGAATTTTTTCTCTCTATCATCAACTTACGGCAGAGTGTAGTCTCATCGCACTATATCTCCGTTTGGATCAGAACTGTCATACCCCTACGTGCATACAAGACAGATGGACCTAATCCGACCCTCCATGAGCTTTAATACTCTTGATATTAGAGCGCTAACTTCTAATTTCATCTACACAAATGTTATTTGAAATAATGGAGGGTTTATTACTGTAGATCCGATATGGTGGTTGCCAACCATTATCTGAGAGATATCACCACCGAGGACATCTCAGGTATCCACCAATTTGATCCCATGGTCCTTGCACAACAGTTGACAGTTCCTCGAGAAGATAAGTCAATCTTACAGATGTTTACTTATCTTATAACAGTACTAAATAGCTTCCATGCTATATATAATTTGCTTAAGCTGGCTTTTTATCATCACAGTGGTTACATGATAAATGCATTAGCTAACAAACTCTACAGAGTTTTTGGCTATTATATAACGTAGCTTAAGTCAAGTATATTTTAAGCATAGTACTATACTCATATTGTAAAAATACATTAGCTAACAAACTCTACGGAGTTTTGCTATTATATAGGTAGCTTAAAGCTCATTCATATCTTAAGCTCAGTACTATGTTTATATCATATAACTATATTAGCTAACAAATTCTAAAGAGCTTTTGCTATTTGGCTTAAGTTTCATCATATCTTAAGCAATATGGTTACATTATAACATGTATTAGCTAACAAACTCGATAGAGTTTTTGCTATTATATATGTAACTTAAGCTTATTCATATCTTAAAGCTGCTAGTACTATGTTTATAGCATATAGGTATATTAGCTATCAAAACTCTAAAAGAGAGTTTTTGCTATTATATATTAGGCTTAAGTTTTCATCATATTTTAAGCTTTATGGTTTACATTATATCATGTATTAGCTAACAAACTTCACGGCGTTTGCTATACATATGTAGCTTAAGGTTTCTTCATATCTTAAGCTCAATACTATGTTGATACCATATAAGTATATTAGCTATTAAAACTCTAAAAGGTTTTTTGTTATTATATATTTAGCTTAAGGTTTTACTTCATATCTTAAGCTCAATACGAGGTCTAAATCAACATAATAAAATGTATTAGCTATCAAACTCTACGGAGTTTTACTATTATATATATATATAGCTTAAGTTTAATCATATCTTAAGCTCAGTACTATGTTTATAACATAAAAGTATATTAGTTAATAAACTCTAAGGAGTTTTTTGCATATATACATTTAGCTTAAGTCTAATCATATCTTAAGCTTGAGTACTATGGTTACATTATAAATCTATTAGCTAATAAGCTCTACAGAGTTTTTGGCTATTGTATATGTAGCTTAAGTTAATTATATCTTAAGCACAGTACTATACTCATATTGTAAAAATATATTAGCTAACAAACTTTACTAAGTTTGGCTATTATATATGTAGCTTAAGTTAATTATATCTTAAGCACAGTACTATACTCATATTGTAAAAAATATATTAGCTAACAAACTATACTAAGTTTGGCTATTATATATGTAGCTTAAGTTAATTATATCTTAAGCACAGTATTATACTCATATTGTAAAAATATATTAGCTAACAAACTCTACTAAGTTTTGGCTATTATATATGTAGCTTAAGATAATTATATCTTAAGCACAATACTATACTCATATTGTAAAATGTATTAGCTAACAAACTCTACAAAGGTTTGCTGTTATATATATAGCTAAGCTTATTCATATCTTAAGCTCAGCACTGTCTATATCATATAAATATTTTAACTAACAAACCCTAAAGGGGTTTGTTATTATATAATTAGCTTAAAATTAATCATATTTTAAGCTTAGTGCTATGTTTATATCTTAAAGTATTTTAGCTAACAAACTCTAAGGGAGTTTATACTAGCATATTAACAAGCTTAAGTCTATTAGTCTTAAGCATTGTATTAATATTATATATACTTATCATAATAAGTACATTGTAATAACCTTAACTATATGGCAGCTGATAACAAGCTGGCAGCAGGAATTCATCAGTTCAATGCCTTTATGAAGTTCCCATGGGGTTATTACAATCATCACAGATTCAAATCACTAATTATTAAAATCCAAAGTATTATATATTCCCACCTCGGCTCTGTTTGGATTCTACAAGCAAAAAGAGCATGAGTCAGGATAAGGAAAATATGTAATTTTTTGAGTAAGAGTAACATTTGTGATTTTCAGGTGACGACAGCGAAGTGTACTGTGTGAGCCTTGTACCAACGATCAGATCAGTTGCCTCCCCTGGCAAGAGTGACGCCAGGATGTATAAAATATCAACAAAACAAAGTCTTATAACATGGGGTTTCAACTCCACCACCTTCACAGCTGAAAAACTGGAAGATAATTCACTGTGGACCATAACGATCGAGAAAAATACAAACCAGATACGAGACATAAAGACGGGCTATTTATTTGGTGTAGGAATATCTTCTGAAGTGCTAAATTACAAGGATCAAGTAGGAATGAGTAAAAGGTCTTATGCAGTTGTGTGTTCGAATGGGAATTTACATTTTTCTCACAATGGGAAGATGGAAACGCTGATGCCGTTGGACGCTCTGCCCATGTCCGTTACAGTCTCGGCTATAACGGATCAAAGTGCGCGCGCTTGATATTCACTTATACCCTGACCAGCGCAGTGTGGGGAGACACACTAGTCGGAAAGCGGATTATAGAAAACGAGGCTTTCAAGGACTGTTACCATCCTGTGTTTACAGTGAGTCATAGGGTGAAGATGCAGTTCCCTACACACGTGTAGCGATCTCTGATTGGATGGTTGCAGGAAAGGAGATGTAAAATGTCTTGCGATCGGTCAAAAGAAATTGAAGCTTGATCTGAAACATCTGGATTACAAATAATCAACACAAGATTCCATAATGGAATAGTAGTGCTTTTGCAGTAGTACTGCCAATGTCAAAACTTGCATCGGTTTTGCTGTGCAAGTAAAAACCGCAAGGAGCCACATGTTATGAAATGTTTCTAGATTGTGGTTAGGAAGGAGAGGATTGGTTGGTGACATAATATTAATTCACATGGAGGGCCAATACAGATCAGACTCTGACATTTTGAAGTATGGTATAGACATTATTTTGTTGATGTTTTGAGGAAGTCAGGGTTGTGATGTAACCATGGTAACATGATAGACAACATGGATGACGGTAATACTCTGTAGCACAATTACACGGGTCCAAGTGATACCCATGTTTGAGGTTTACAGGTATGTGTTTTCCTGTTGTTGAGTATAGTTCAGAATTCCAGTTGTCACTTTCTTTGCAATACTGCAACACTCCTAAATCAGTTCTTTTGTAAAATCTTACCAGATTTGTTTGATTCGATACATGGGTAGAATGTCTGACACCTACTTCAGGTGTTTCCCTTCCAGGATATTGCTTCAATATTGCTAAAAACGGTATAAAACACAACTCACTAACTCGCTATTGAATTTATATCACACTTGCAGAATACTGTTATCAACATTGCTTTGTTAAGATTTGCGTCCCCCTGATAAGGGTCCATCCATACAGATGAAAGTAGCTGCATCAGCAGGTGTGTTTCACAACATGAGCTATTCCACAGTATCATTACACCTGAAATGTTTCATCATTGAACTCCTGGTAGGGAACTTACTGCATGTATTGTGTATCACTGATACGTCATGTCAAGACCAACCTATGTTGAAACTTAGTGCAAGTCCTTGATGTCGTCTATTTACATCTACAGTATTTAAATCTAGGGAGCATCCAATTCTGTACCATTTAACATTGGGTTTATAACAAGGACTTCTTTACTTCCATGCTTATTTATTTTATGACTATTTTAAGGTTTAAAAAGATTAAGATTTATTAATTGAAATTTTGGTGACTTTATAAAACATTTTTTTTTTTTTTCAGGCTCTAAAGACTTTTTTTTCAATTAAAAAAAAGGTAAATTCAGTTTTAAGAAAGTCCACAGAATACACTTCTCACAGCTTCTAGTTAGTATGGGTCAGGTGTTTATATCCTGTTCACTGGAACACTAATGGAACAGAAACCAGCAAATCTTGTAAGTGATGATTTAGTGCTGTTTTTGATCCTAGTATATTACTTGTTCCCATTTTAGTCAGTTACCCGGATAGTAGAACAACGTTGATCCGAGACAACAGCTAGTTCCATGTTAAATGCTGTTAAAGGGTGCTTCATAATATAATCAATACAAATGTTTGATGAAATGACTAACTCTTCTTGTCACTAGTTAGGTAATTATGACCAAATAGGAATGTATATGGTTGTGACATTTTATTTAAGATTGGTTGTGAACATTTTACGGCTTTGCTTTCAGATTACTTTTGATATGACCTTATATTTGTATAGATATTTTCATTACATATCAACAAGAGGACACCACTGTAGGAGACATTATCCATGTTTTAGGGTATGTTTTTATTTAACCTTATACTTTGTCATCATGAGATATTCAGGCTGAAGCATTTCACCAATGCCCTGTGATATAATATAACTAGATATGTTTGAACTATTTTCGTACATATCTTTCCACAAGAGGTTAATGTTCGTAGGTTCCTAATGGTCCACAATGAGGGGCCCGATCCACAAAGCGTTATGGCACTATGATATTCGTAAGCCTATCTTGAACTATAAACTATCTTGAACTATAAACTTGCGATTGCTGATCCACAATGAGGGCCGTACAAAGGCTACAAAAGCTTTGTGTTCGGCTTGCTCGTACCACTACAAAGCTTTGTGTTCGGTACCCGTGTGTTGTCATTGATTGACATTTCAACATTATACAAAGCCCAGTTTTCAGTTTTAATTAGAGCAGTGGTGGGGTAACCATCTGGTTAAAGTGTTAGCTTGTTATAGCAAAAGCCACAGGTTTGGATCCCCACTTTTCAATGTGTGAAGCCCGTTTCTCACGTCCGTTTCCATGATGTTGCTGAAATATTTTGCTGAAAGCGGAATAAAACCACTCTCATATTAGTGGAGGGCCTTTAAAACTGACAAGACGGAATCAATAATTCCATCATGTTGACATCAAGACTCTTAAATAAGTACATATTAAGATTTCAGAAGTGTTCAAATGACTGATATTGTCCCTTTCTATATTCAGTTGAAGGTCACAAAATATTCAGCTGTGAAACAATAACAGCTATAATCTAGATGGTAGCCTTGTTTTCAAATTGAAACATGATTTCTGTTATTTATATTTGTGTATTTGGATATGTAATGTCCAGACCAATGGTTTATGAATGCAATGCAAACATAATATAGTAATATTGTCCCATTCTAGTCAGAGTTAGGGAGCTGTTTGAAAACATGAGGATAAAGATGTAATGCCTTAAGTTTTCAGATATTTAAACACAGGTACACAATACAGCTGAATACATATCACACCTTAAGACCCCACAGCCCCCACCACATGTACACATCACCACTCTCTTCACACCACACCACACCACTCTCGACACACCACAAAACACAACCACTCCACTCCATTCCACACTGTAAACATTTGGAGTTAAGGTGATTATAACAGCTGCTCCTGCATATATTGGATTGTAATAAGCATATTGTCTGAGAATCATGTAAAGGTGCATTAGATAATACTCATACATCATCTCATGTGATCTGTATCCTCCACACCAACGGTGTACATATTATCTTCTTTGAGAGGCATTTTTAGAAGTTCTATAGATAGTCAACTTCTTTATTGCAATGAATACGACGTTTCGGTGTAGGTGATGATAACGGTGCTCGAGATCGGTGTTGGTACCTACACCGAAATGTCGCATTCACTGCAATAAAGAAGTTGACTATCCATAGAACTTGGTTTTCCTTACATGTACATATATCCAGAACTCATCAGTGGAACCACATGGGTACAATGTGTGAAGATGATTTCTGGTGTTCCCTGCCGTGATATTACTGGAATATTGCTAAAAGCAGTGAAAAAATAAACTCACTCACTCACCTGTGGAAGCAGTGTCATTGTGTGTCTCTACAGTTCTCATCACCATATGAAACATGCACTCAATGTATTGGGGTAAACAGGTGCCCAGTGATCTAAAGCCCTCTTGTGCAGAGTTAGTTCCCTTAGACATAGCAGGATTTGCCTGTTAATGATCCATGGTATGTGACATATCCGTAGTCTAAAAGTCCATGGTCAGGGCTGTTTGGACCCCCCTCCCACACCAAGTTCACTATGCCATAATTTAACTTTGAAGTTTTTCTTACCGGTATTAATGTAGTGTTTAGATATTTGAATATCTTCATTCGAACACAAATCCCTGCCTGAAATTTACCATGCTCAGATCACTTTTCTGACATATATCCTGTGTATTCTAGACGTGAAGATGTGGTCCTGACTTTCACCTGGAGTCAGCAAGTACTATCTGGTAACCATGGTAACGGCCCTATAACATTGCTTATTTGTGACATTCCTCCTTGGCTGCTTTGTAAATACAGTGCATCAGTTGTGACTTTCCTGTGTGAAATCCTGCCAAAATGTTACAATGGTAACTGACCTGTTTCTGTACCATGGTACATCAGCTAAATGACCTGTTCCTGTACCATGGTACATCAGCTAAATGACCTGTTCCTGTACCATGGTACATCAGCTAAATGACCTGTTCCTGTACCATGGTACATCAGCTAAATGACCAGTGTGTGTACCATGGTACATCAGCTAAATGACCTGTTCCTGTACCATGGTACATCAGCTAAATGACCTGTTTCTGTACCATGGTACATCAGCTAAATGACCTGTTCCTGTACCGTGGTACACCAGCTAAATGACCTGTTTCTGTACAATGGTACACCAGCTAAATGACCTGTTTCTGTACAATGGTACACCAGCTAAATGACCTGTTTCTGTACAATGGCACATGAGCTTAGTGACCAGTTCCTGTACCATGGTACATGACCTTTATTAACAGTTTCTGTACCATTGTACATGACCAGTTTCTGTACCATTATACACCAGCTAAATTACCTGTTTCTGTACCATGGTACACCAGCTAAATGACCTGTTTCTGTACCATGGTACATCAGCTAAATGACCTGTTCCTGTGTGAATGTTCTGATGCTACATATATACCTCATCCTCATCTATCCAATCAAAGGGATTAGGTTTCCTACTGGTCAGTTTTACCAGCAATATATCAATATTTTTTGTCAGTATGTACGTGATGTAAAAAAGATTAATCTTGTTCACTGGCATTGAGGAGTACTTAGTATGTTAGAGAATATCTTCACACAGTGGAGCGCAGTGATAGATTTTTAAACTTATCCTATCTCACGACTTGCACCTCTCTCTCTTGCTTCGACTTTTAGTGGAACGACTGTAAACTTTTTTCCATAGGCCTCCTTGTTCATTCGCCTGTGCACTCCATGCTGCTCTCCTTAATTAGCTTCCTAGTTCCTAATAAAGCTTGCAGCATGCTCCACTAATTGCCCACATGACTACCTTGAATGATCATTCTCTTTCTTGTTGCACACGACTGCGTGGACGTGCTGTATATTAGGGACATTATTTCACCCTAACATCATGGGGAAAACTGACAATCGGTCAAGGAAAGGAAAGTTTGTGCTCAATGCAAGACGAATTATTTGTCCCTTGACCCTCACTCGTGTTGCAGTGACTGTATTGGACAATGTAACTGGAACAAACGATGTGGCAAGTGTAATTCACTAAAAGATGAGGATTTTAAGGCCTACCTACATCGCGAAACTAATAACGACGTAGAAACTCCAATTCATCGGAGCACTGTTCGACACTCGTCAGGGGATGATGTTCGTACCTCACGACAGGTGGAAAAAGATTCAGCAATGCATTCCTCCAGCACTGTCTCAGGCAAGAACCTTACGACAGTGGCAGGAGCTACTGGGCCTTCTGACGTCAGCTCAAGCCTTAACATACAGAGGCCAGCTCCAACTTCGGCCGATACAGCGATTTCTACGCCCGTACCTTCAGGCCGACATCCCCAAGGAACTAATTTGCCTTCCAGAACCGCTTCGTCCAGTCCTTAAATGGTGGCTCGACGAACGGAATGTTTGCGCCAGAGTCTCTATATTGCCCTTTGCACTGACTCATCACCTATTCGTCGATGCATCCCTCATGGGTTCGGGAGCTCACTTCCTTGACCACCAAGTGGCCGGACTGTGGTCATCCGACAAACGGGTACTTCATATACGAGCTGGAATTCAAGGCGGTAATTCAAGCCATCTCACATTGGGCAACAGAGCTTCAATCAACCAGTCTGTTGATCCAATCAGACAATTCGACAGTGGTTTGGTATATAAATCATCTAGGCTTGACAGGCTCGGCGAATCTGCTACAATGGGCGATCAGGTTCTTCCATCTCATCGACTCACTCAACATCGTAGCCAGAGCCAGACACATTCCCGGGTAAAAAATGTGATCGCTGATGCCTTGTCCCGATCCAACTGACCGTCCCCGACAGAGTGGAAGTTACTGCCCCAGATCTTTCAGTCGATGATCTACCCGCTATCACGGCCTCAAATAGATCTTTTCGCCACAAGGTTCAACCACCAACTTCCAAAGTTCGTATCACCAATCCCAGACTCCTTGGTGTGGGACCTCGACGCATTGGCAATATCATGGGAGGGTCTCAATGCCTACGCGTTCCCCCCTCCAGCTCTGCTACCAAAAGTAATACAGAAACTATTGTCCACCAGCAACATACTACTGCTTTTGGTCGCACCCTTCAGGCCAACAAGAAGTTGGTTCGTCAACCTAAGAAGCCAGGCAGAGCCAAACCCAGTACCGCTTTCCAACCGGGATGACCTACTTCTTCACCCTCACTCGGACCTGCGCCACGGGTCACCTCAGACACTCAATCTACACGTTTGGCGCATCTTCAGAGGTCTCTCATAGCTAAGGGCTACTCTCGCCGAGTAGCCACAGCTATCCCTTCAGCGCATAGTACTTTGACCCGTTCCTTGTACGACAACAAGTGGAAGAAGTTTGCAAGCTTAGGGGAATTGCATCTCCCACTTCCACCTCGGCTCATGTCGTTGCTGAGTTTCTCCAGCATCTCCACACTACTAAGAAACTCAAGGGTACTACGTTAGCTACCTACTTAGCCGCCATCAACTCGGTTTTGGCTACCACCACGGGCACGAAGATTTCCACTGTTCCCGAGTTGCAGAGGCTACTACGCTCCTATAGACTCTCTGACCAGCCCAGAAAGTTCAGACCTCCGGCCTGGGATCTGTCCGTCGTCCTTCGTCATATGATTTCTACAGATTATGAACCTTTAGAAGACATGGATTTCGAACAAGTGACATTCAAGACATTCTTCCTGGTAGCTTTGGCTACCGCTGCTCGTATATCTGAACTGCATGCGCTTGATGTCAATCGGGTGCGGTTCGAGCAGAAGAAGCATGGCAAGGCTTTCCTGGGTCTCCGCTGGGACTTCATTGCGTAAAACCAACTGCCAGGGCAACCGGACCGGATGTTTACCATTCCCCCGTTGTCCACCATTCTTGGGCCTGATGATAATGAAGATTTGACACTCTGCCCTGTTAGGGCTCTACACGTTTACCTGGCTGCCTCCAAGGATTGTCGACGGCTACGGAAGCGCCTCTTCATACCCTTGTCGAACGCTTCAAGAACTGAGGTTCCCGGACCACATTGGCCTTCTGGATGCGTGCCACGATCCTGCGAGCCTACACCTTTGCAGGGTTGCCTCCTCCAGCCGCTTCCAATCCTCATGAGACTCGTGCACTAGCCTCAACGATGGCCCTCCATAGCAACTGCTCCTTGACCGCTATCATGGAAGGTTGCTTCTGGCGTTCTGATACAGTATTCTCTTCACATTACCTGCGAGACCAGTGTCTGTCACGGATGTCCAGTGACTACACCAGTTCGGACCTCTTGTACTGGCTCAGCCGCTTACATCGGCCCAACAACGCAGATGAGGGATGGTTCCGCATTCGCGTTACTACTTCCTTGTATATACTGAATAAAAGTTGAACTGGATCTCAACCTTTTGTTCTGATTATATGGGTTTAAGAACTACTTCACTTGGCCTCCATACCAAGGCATCGGAATACGGCCACCTAGCGTGGCCCTACGGACCCGAGGCACAATCAGTATGACGATGCAGAGGTGTTGGACATTCACGCTTACTGACCTCTACTCCACGGAGCAATTACATCAGTGAAGTGTGACACTCCCGAATTCCAGTGGATTTCGTTGCGTTCTGCCTCCAAAGTTGCCGGGCACATTCTTTGACAAAGCTTAGGCAAAGGAGTGAGGGTCAATTTGATGCTGCTCGGAATTGAACGTTAAACCTTGGAGATGCCGAGTTGTGTTTCTCTTTCACCTGCCTCGGTCGGTGTCTGGGGGGCCTTCTTGAAGCAGGGGCAGGCCCGATTCAAGTCGCAAGACTTTAATTACGGGGATACCTTGTAAATCGTGGTGAGGCGAGGCTTACTTGCCGAGTTGCGTCCCTTGTCTTGTACAAGGTTGCGGCCAAACACCAATCTCCCTGGGAGTCGTTGTGCTAAGTAAGCCAAGGGGTTCCGGAGAACCCACTACAAGCATAGGAGTTGTGTGCATGCGTAACAGGCCTCCCTTGCACATCGCTATCTACGGTTGTCATCAGTCCAAGACCAACTGTTCGCACTGTCCAGCCAGAAGGGTAATCTGCGGCCCGCCGTCCAACCGTGGGATAAGTGCAAGTCGTGAGATAGGATAAGTTTAAAAATTTTAATATAAATTGTATATTTATATACTGATCCTATCTCACGCGATGGATGCCCGCCCGGCCTCCCCACTACTCAGATTACAACGTTGTCTCCAAGATGAGAATAATCATTCAAGGTAGTCATGTGGGCAATTAGTGGAGCATGCTGCAAGCTTTATTAGGAACTAGGAAGCTAATAAGGAGAGCAGCATGGAGTGCACGGGCGAATGAACAAGGAGGCCTATGGAGAAAAGTTTACAGTCGTTCCACTAAAAGTTGAAGCAAGAGAGAGAGAGGTGCAAGTCGTGAGATAGGATAAGTATATAAATATACAATTTATATTAAAATTTCCAATTCTGGTATTATCCTTTTGTTAAGATAGGAATAAATGTGTTCTGACCATTTTCTCAATTGCCAGGCCCAGAATTATAATTTTGAACTTAAAGGTTTTATGGAAAATCAAACTGTTTAGTTAAGTATATTCTTTCACCTTTCCTCCTGGTATTTTAACTTAGTTAAGTATGAGCTAACAACATCGATGTTGTTTGTACTTACATTTTCTAACACAATTCGAAATTTCATTTCATACAGAGATCAATTAACAATAAACTGCTGTCTGTTACTAATAAAGCCTTCGACTTTATGCTCTCTGTTACACAAGACAAATTATTAAAACTACAACTGTATAAATGTTGACCACGGCCTTTTCCCTACCTCTTGAAATCCAGGTTTACACACAAACCTTGTCACAGTTGTACTTACACTCTGTAGTTGATTGTACGTCTCAGGGACATAGAATCACTTGCTGTTAGCTGCACTACTTGGCAATGCAATATTACCCCTCACAGTTGTACCAGTCATGCACACTGATGAAGAGTTTGTAAGGATGGTTTTAGTCAAACCAAGTCAATATGTTTTCTTTGAATAACTTCAACTGCAATTGTCTTGAACTGTTTAGGGACTGTTCATAATTTATGGCAAGGGGGGTGATGATGATATTCACGGAGAAGCATGTTCAATGTGAATGACCCCCACCCAAAAAAATTTATGTTCAAAGTAAGTGACCCTGCCCTGCATGCTGTGTACAAAATCAATGCCCCCCACCTCCATTCCCATAATTTTAAGCCCATATTTTAAATATTAATATGCACAAAATTGCTGACACCCCACCCACCCCGAACAAAATGGTTTCACCTCCCTCATCCTCTCCTCTCTCCACACCCACACACCCCACCCACCCCACCCCACCCCTCATCCCTAAATTATGAACAGTCCCTTAAGAGGCATTCTAGAATCTAGAAGTTGTAAGTAGGAATGACAAGTCTTTGTGGATGATCAACTTCTTTATTGTGCAATAGCGACGTTTCGGTATAGACACTTATACTGTTTTCTCTACAGAAACATTGCTATTGCACAATAAAGAAGTTGATCATCCATAAAGACTTGTTATTCCTGCACTTGTCTTGTTATTATTTCATGATATTCCAACAACACTTTAGTACATGTAGTTAACACACAATCACACACATATTGAAGAATGTCATGTGTAATAGACTGGGGCCATTGGGTCGCTGATATTTCAGTGGAGTCTTGTGATTGTGATACCTGAGTGATCGATGATAACCTTCGAGATGCACCTGGGATGACTTATGATAAACTTGGAGATAAACATGGAATGACTTGTGATAAACTTTCAGATGAACTTATGATAAACATTGAAATAAATCTGTGAAGAAATGGATATATTCCCATCTTTTCTTGTGTAAAATGTCCATCTGTATCTGTTTGGGTTATTTTGTGGATAAAAAATGTCCTCTTCAAATGAAGTCTTTGCTTGAGTGAGAGAATAAACTGTCAGATTCTCATTGTTACTGTATATATTGAGATGGAAGATACAAGACATTGTACATCTGCTTCACTGGCATCTTTATTTCTATTTTTCCTGTTTCAAATCGTTAAAAAAAAATTACAGACCAATCACAGACGGTTGGTTGACGCTGTGTACTTTTGAGGATTTTCTGAGATATCTGTATGTACTCAATTCAAGATAAATTCATTTTTACAGATATAAATAGAAGTACAGTCCATCATGCCGATACCATTACATTGAGACAAACTGGTTTCAGGTAACGTGGTCAGTATGTATGACGATGCCGGTTCCATTATCAGTACATTTGGTTCAGTGTATAGGCTAGAACCTTCTATCGTCACTTACCACAGAGATATATGCACTTGGAAAATTGGGGCAGTGGGGTAGCCTAGTGTTTAAAGCGTTCACTCGTTCGACCCGGGTTTGATTCCCCACATGGGTACAATGTGTGAAGCCCATGGCTGGTGTCCCCTGCGGTGATGATGCTGGATTATTGCTAAAAGCGGCATAAAACCATACTCACTCACTCATTTGGAAAATTGTTAAGCCCTGTTATCGATATGTATATATATATAGATGTGAGTATGGGGATTTATCGAGATCTGCTTCCAGCCTGTTATTGGTCCCCAAGTAAGCAGCAAAATCCAAGCAGGAATTATGATTTTCAAGATTCATGTTAATCTTTTTTGTAATTATAACTGATATTATGGCTTTGTAACAAATAATTGATTCACATATGACAGGACAAATTTAGAGCGGCATTAGTGTACTGATTATGATGGAATCTCCTGCGTTTAAAAATAAATATGGTCTTTAAAATATTCACATTTTTCACTTTTTATTTCTTTTTGTCCCAATTTGCCTTACAAGGGTACTTAGTTCACAATCCAGTTACTCAAAGCCAATTCCTGCAGGGACCCTCCTCGATAATTCCCAGGGTATACGTATGATAAATCTCCACTAGTACCCTAGATGCATCTATGGCTCAGCCCGATAATTGTATTACCTCCATTTTTAGCATACCAATCACAAGGCTTCTATCATAACTCACTTTTGCTTCTTTTATCTAACCAATTAAACATGACAACACAATTGTTGCAGAGGTACCCTGAAAGAGGTAGAAGTGGGTTCTTGCGTATATTTATCATTTATCATTATTCAGTGGAGATTTATCATAACGTATACCCTGGAGATTATTGAGGGTGTATCAGGGAATAACTAATGATAATAGGTAGCAGATTTGTTCATTTGGAATAGAGCAAGTCTTTTGGACCACGGACATTATGTCGTAGTATGAGACAGTACAGGTTTCACACAACAGAACTGAGAGAACCGGATGTGAAGTCCATATCCCGACCAGATTATCACAGTGCTAAGGAACTTTTATGCTACTCAAAATAAATTAAAGATCACACAATTCAGGTTTCTAGTTCATTGGTGACAGAGCAACTACAGTCTGTTGAAAGAATTGTATATTCTTAAGCTTGTTTCAAGTCGTACACTTGTAAGTTTTGTTACACATATTGTTTGAACTATTTCTGTTTGTTTCACCTGTTCCTGTTTTTTGTTTTGTTGATGAAAGTAAACATGTTTCTGTTTGTGTCATAATTTTGTTGATATCAACTTGAAGTCGGCTGCCGTCAGGAGCCTCAAGGGATGATATACGATATACCAGGATATCTTGTATATCCTGCATAGGGCTTGGTTATATGCAATAAAACCACCTTTTCATTATGTTGTCTTTTGTTTCCTTTCAACACCCAGCAACATCTTACTGCAGGTGTGGAGTAGTTCACAGGTTAATGCGTTGGTTCATCACACTGATGGTGTGGGTTTGCTTCCCCACATGGTTGTAATGTTTTAAGTCTATTTCTTGTGTCCTCGACATGATACTGCTGGAATATAGCTGAAAACAGTTTAAGACAATGCTCGCACACTTACGTTTGATCAGTTGTCATGAAGGGAAAGCATCTGTATGTTTAAAGGACATTAATACGATTACCTGGGGATTTGTGCGGTTAATACACCCTGATAGCCCTGTGGTTAAAGCGCCCTGGTAAAAGCCCACTGGTATCCCAGTCTTGGGAATAAGCAAATCAGCCTTGAGATTGTAGCTGATTGAAGCTCTCCTACTGTTAAGATGGTCATTAGTGCCATACATTAATATTAATTTACGACTACATTAGCTTTAAGAGAGCTACGAAAATCTTGGCCCAGGTAATCAGTTTAATCACCTTATCTTTTCGTTGATCTTCCCACCAGCCTAAGTTCATTCCCAGATTGGTGGTACAATACATTGGAACACAACCAGGTAGGTCACACATTGTCTCCATCTAATCCTCAGGAGTCATTTCTGAAGATCCTGCAGCAAGTTCAGGTTCACTACGACTGATTCTTTCATATTACTGTTGTTAATCAAACAATCTGATCCTAAAAATATCCTTAATTTGTGCAAATAACATACACCTATTACATCATCATCATAATCCGTTATTTTGGCTGGTTATATTATGAAAATCGATTTACACTATACATCCTCTTCCCAGTCAGGTTTGGTGACCTTGACCTTAATTTTTTTAGGTCACAAGGGGACTTTAACGTTTTACTCTTGTCAGAGAGATATCTCAAGAACCTTTCACTTCATATTCAACACCAAGGTTTATCTAGGGAAGGCGCAGGGCCCAGTCGATTTTGGTGACCTTCACATAATTGTCAAGGTCATGGTGACACTTTGAAGATTTCAGCATATTAACCTGCATGTTATGCTTGTCAGCGAGATACCTCAAGAACCATTCACTGGAGTTTCTTCATATTTGACATCAAGCTTCATCCAGGGAAGGCACAGGGCCCAGTTGATACTGGTGACCTTCACATAATTTTCAAGGTCACTGCCACACTTTGAAGATTTCAGCATGTTAACCTGAATTAACTGGATTTTTTCATTGACTTTAAAGACTTCCCTTGAATGTTTTTCAATAAGCAATTTCTTTAGTACCATTTTTGCATATTTCATACACTATGACATTCATGTCAAGGTCAAAGTCAGTCTTGAAAATATTTGTGTGTTTGAACAACTAAAGAGAAGATATCAAGAGAGGTTGACTGGTCATGTTTTTGTTGACAATTAACTTCATCTTAAACTTTCATTACTTTTTAAGTTTGATTTGATAATTTGCTGCGGGGGATTATGTCACCTTAGTGACAATGCTTGTTCTTTCCTGTGTCTGCTGGAGGTAACATCTAAAAAAAAAATCGGTATTTCTAGCACATTTGGTAGTTTGCCACAATGATAGATAACAACTAGTGTTCGTTTCTATGTTTGTAACAAACATCAGTGCAGAGCTTTGTGATGTCTTCATTCTCCATGTTAACTTCAAAAACACACAAGTCACTTGTTCAAATATGTTTAATGTGCTGATCTCATAAATGTACATGATACATGTTGAGAGAGGATGACAATGACGAACACATGACCCATATAAATACAGATGTAGTGGCACAATGAACATGGAATGAGACTGTACACATACGTGGGAGTATTGGAGCAGACTTACAATGACAGAATGAACATGATGGGTAAATGCTGTTCCAGCACCATGTTGGCAAAATGTCATGGTGAGGCAATGTTAACATGGAAATTATGACCTGCCACAGAGGTTCATGACACAAGTACATGAGCTACGTGATGATTTTACCTCAGATGGGCTCCTTCCTCGACTACATTGAAATCTCAGGCTTCAGACTAGCAGATAATGTCTATCAAGATATCAGCAATAAGCTCACTTCATTGTGTGGGTAACACTGCTTTGTTGATGTATAGTGTACCTTACAACCACTTTGATCAGCTCACTTCATCAGCATTACTGGTACAGTTTTCTACGTACAGCCTTATATCTATGAGGAAAGTATCTTCCAACATATCCTGTGTTTGATAATTACAGGTCTTAATGACTTGAAGCACAGGCAGGTATCAAACATTTGGCCAATACAAGAGTTTTGTCAAGTTTTTTTGTTTTGTCAAAAAATTTGGTTTTGTTTTTGTTTATGCTGCCTTCAGCAATATTCCAGCTACATGATGGCAGTCTGTAAAGAATTTAGACAGGGCAATCAAGTGATTGACATCATGAGCACCAATCTAAGTATTTGGGATATAATGACATTCATCCCCAAGTCAACAAGTCTGACCACCCAGTCCCGTTAGCTGCCCCTTACCACAAGTACAGATGCCTTTTACGATAATCAGTGAGGCATGAACTTAGTAATCAAACAAAATGATTTCCTGCTCAAAGAAGAATATCAGGTCATGATAACATGCCTGCCTCTCCCACTGATGCCATTTCCTCATTGTCCACATGCACACAGACAGTCTTCCTAGGATGATGTCTCCATGCCCGCTGGAGATGCTGAGCTGACTGCGGAGCCTTGTTGCAGAAACTCCTGTAAATCTGTGTCAATGGTATTGTTATCTTGGCCCTCATTGGCTGCCTGTGACTGAGCAGCTTCACTGTCAACACCTTCCATTGGCTGGCTGCTATTGCCCTGGTTCTGAGATTGAAGGGAGACAACTGGTTGCATGGTAATTCCCAGAGCTGAGCGTACAGCCTTCACACTGACAATGTCCTTGGGAGCAGCCTCACGGGCTAATGCCTTCAGTTCCTTCGATACTTTCTCAGCTGGAAATAAACAAATCTGAGTGAGTATTGTATGTACACATCCATCACAAAACAGAACTATTCAGGGCAGAGAGATAGGTTAATGGTTAAAGCGTTTGCTCATCACACCAATGATCCAGGTTTGTTTTGTCTTTGATATCTTATTGCTAGACAGGGTAGCCTAATGGTTAAATTGGCTCGTGAAGACCCATTATAGTTGTCTTTGGTATCTTATTGCTAGACTTTCAGGCAGTCAGTCAGTATTGCTAGAAAAAAGCAGCGGAAAATCATACTCACTCAACAATGAAGCATTTAGAGAAAAAACAACAAATATGGAAGAATTACAGATAATGTCCTGACTGAAAGAAATGATATAGGGTCCCTCCATTGTTGAGGAACTAGCTTATTCGTTCAGGGAAAGCAGAGATAATCTATAGTTCTGATTTCCAAGCAAGTAAATCTCTGACTGGTTTATAGTCAGTTACATCATATGTTGTCATTCAGAGGCCCAGATAAGCTGCGTATCCGGGTAAAATACGCATAGAAAATTTCCAATTACACATTGAAAAATAATTGTTGCGTACCAATTATGCATTTAAAATGTTAGATCATAAAAACGTTTAAAACAAATGCGTACAGAATATATTTATAAAAATCGCTTGCGTAATGAGAAAGACCTTGATTGCTATCAAGTTGTACTGTTAGTATAGGACAAGTGCTGTACTGTCCATTTTGGATGAGGGATTTTTATGAACTCATTTCCATTATATTGCTGAGTAAACTTACTCAATGACATTATTCTTAGGTGAGTAAAATGACTGAAATACGCACATGTTTGAAAGCAGTGGGTAACGGAAAATGAAACACCCACTCAACATTCATAATTCCCACTCCACAAAAATACAGTGGGTACAGTACCCACATGAGCTAAATCTTATCTGGAGCTCTGGTCATTAACAATGAGGCAATGTAATGACATACCCCCATAACTGACCAACAAGCACTGAGTATAGCTGAAATGTCTATTTAACTATAACAAATTATTTCCACCCATGTCAGCAACATATGAAGATATCTATTCTGAAATGTTCGACCTATATAAACCACATGAGAGGTTGTATACAAAAGGGGAATCTCCTGGGGAAGTCTGAGGGACTGGAATACCATTGTACTCATAGTACCACATCATTCTTAAAACAGTAAATGACCCGTGAAGATCCGGGTTAGAATTGGTCTTCAGTAACCCATGCTTGTCGTAAGAGGTGACTAACGGGATCGGATGGTCAGACTCGCTGCCTTACATGTCATCGTATCCCAATTGCGTAGAACAATGCTCATGCTGTTGATCAATGGATTGTCTGGTTCAGCCTTGATTATTTACAGACCGCTGTCATATAGCTGGAATATTGCTGAGTGCGGCGTTAAACAACCAACCAACTAAACGCGTAAATGAGAGTGAACTTGTTTTTATGCTGTTTTGAACAACATTTAAGCTGTGGCCCAGTGTGTCAGAAAAATTGTGATCCGTCATTAGTCTCTGCTCACAGACAGTTAGATAATCAGCAATCATAATTGTACCCAATCAATTTCTGAACTCCCTTGGTTTATGTTGTGAATCATGTCACCAAGCCAAGCAGGCTCTTATGACCAGCAGAGATGGGGGGAGCCATTTCTAACCCAGATGACTAATGGTATACAAGTTCAGGAAACATCTATGTCCAGCATTGTCATGTACTCACCCAGTTCAGCTTCTCTGTCAGACGGCCCGAGGACCAGTCCAAGATGTGCAGGTGGCTTCTGACTCAGCCTCTCCCTCTGCGTCTGCTGGAGGTCCGTGATGAGGCCCGCCGTCTGGTCCAAGCGGGCTTGCAGCTTGTCATTACCTATCTCTTTCTCTGGAACACACATAGAAAGTGTCACTATAATTATTTACTAATAAACTGAGACTCTACCTTATAACCATACTTACGTTTGCTCATTTTCATTATTCAAACATTTGGAAAACCTATGCGACCACAGCAGATAATCTTATCTCATGATTATCTTATTATCTCTGCCCAAAATATTTGAGTCACCTTTGCTAAACTTTTAAATTCAGCACCATTTTTAGTACATTTTAATTTGTGCAAGTGGTTTCTCATGAGCTAATCTTACTCATGTTCTTTGACCAAACTGAATTCTACTAGACTCTGGCTTTGGACTAGCACCTTAAGTCACAGGCTGGTACTGCTGGCTATAAATAAGCTACCAGTCAAACCAATGATTGACAGCACGAGCAGCAATAAATGTTATCAAACTTGACACAGAAGCAGCCAGTTTCTTCAGTGCACAGGTGTGTAATTACTGACATATCTATATATCTATATACTGTACTATAAAAGGTCATGACACTATTCAACTTCGAGTCTGATGACCTTTTCTAGAACAACATATTAGTATATCAGTTTATCACAATATAAACAAACGGTGAGAAATTAAACACTGAAGCACTTCTATATTACATATTCCCTAACAGGGTTGCCAAAACAAGATTTGTTTTCAAATTGTTAATGATCTAAAGAGAATGTCATACCAATCAGCGACAAAATCATGATAGTCACGTATCAATTATTCCTGTGTGAGAAATGAACCCAGAACATGTCCATCTTAAGCAACGCCTGTTGAGCTATCCTAAGATCATTCTGCCTACTCACCAAAGTAGTCTACAAAAGAGACGTCAAGTCCAAGGTCACCAAGGCTTCTAAGGGAGTTGAAATCAATGTTCTTCTTAACTTTTGCCTGAAAGAAAACATGAAGCACATTTAGTTGAAATGCAGTGAACTATTTGACACCTGCATGTTTAGCATCACCATATGCTAACCTCTTCTCACAACAAATCCCAGATAGGCTGATCAGGTAACAAAACTTGAAACTATCGCATCATCAAAAACTAACTCTTACCTATTCTCTAATATTTACATTTCACTTTTGGGAAAAATGTCTTCTCATTATAGACACCTTGGTATGTATGGTTGTATTAAACTGTCAAAACTAACTCACTCACTCACTCTACAGATGGTAGCAATGGCCAGAGTTTTAAAAGCAACGATCATAACTTCAGATTATTCAAGATGAAGTTATCTGACAATATTTAATGAAACTTTCTAACTGATAAACCTGGGCATCACTTCCCACATACATATCTGAACAACTTATAAAGTGTTGACATACTTCTTTCTCTCTCTGTTTCTCCTCTTCAGCCTTCTTGTCAGCTTCCACTTTCTTCTTCTGAAGACGAAAATAACTGAGTCAGAACTGCCAGCATATATATCACCCACAGAAGTTAATACAAACCAACATGACACTACTAACATTGTTCTGAACAATAAATGATTAAACATCCTGACTCTGGTAGAACAACAAAATAGCACAGTCTTTGACTTACATTAATTTGATAAAGAATTGACAAAATGTGAAGACATGAAAAACATTTATAATAACGTCTTCTTCATGTGTAACAATTTTCAGGACTACATCTTGTCCTCAGCTGCTTCAGTGCGTGATGAAGATACAAGTAGCCAAATACATCAGGTCTTGGTATACAATAATGAATTGTTAACCAAACATATTGTCTTCAAAACATTCGTCCTGCACACCATATTTGCAATATTTGCAATAACTTTACATTTGCCCAACTGTACGAAAAGGTGTGTAGATGCATGATCCTGAAGTGTCAATATATATGTAGTAGAGTGGGTCACCTGTTCTAGCAGCCTCCTTGTCTTGCTGTGTTCCCCCTTGGTGAGCACATCCAGGAGGACATCCACCATCTTCACCCCGTAGTCCTCCGCTTTCTCCACAAAACTCATCACACTGAAAATAACAGGCTTTTCACAATGAGGTCTGTTTGCATGATCTACACTAGGGTAGCGTGGTAGGTGGGGTGAATTGTTAGAGGTGAGTTGAGGTGAGGTGAAGTAGGTGAGGTTGTGTAAAGTGAGGTGATGTTTGTGAAATTAGTTATGGTGAGGTTCGTGAGGTTAGGATAAGGTGAGGTTTGGTAGTTGAGGTGAGGTGGAGTGAGGTAAGGTCAGGTCAGGTGGGATGAGGTGAGGTCAGGTGGTTCTGGGTGAGGTGGGGTGGGGTGAGGTGAGGTGAGGTGAGGTGAGGTGAGGTGAGGTGAATTTTAATGGGGTTTAACCTTCATTCAAGATGATTCCACTTGTAAAGCAACATGCAAGCAAGGGTGTCTGTGTGTGAAGGAAGGAGGGGCAGAGTGGGCTGCTTGTACCAGTCCAGACTAATGCAGCTTTTGTCGTGCAAGCTCCCTGGGATACCTTGCAACAGTTTAGTTATACCCTACTGAGACATACTGATACCGAGCCAACCAGTCCTTGTTTGTATCCTCTCACAGCCGAGGACCAGGCTGGGTAACAACAAGTACCATATTTAAACCCTGTTGGTACAACACAGCCAGGGATGGAACCAGCAACATTCTGCTCGCCAGACAGATGCTCCAATCACTAGACTGCAGACAAGGCTGCCTGGGGTACACATGTCTGTGGTCAGCATATCATACCACTAACAACTAGTGATTGACAGCATGACCAACAACCCACACGACTGTGGTATGCAGCCATGAATGAAATCACTGAGCCAGACAACCTGACCAGTCTGGGCACTCCTGGACAATTGTTTGTTTGTTTGTTTGTTGTTTAACACTGCCCTCAGCAATATTCCAGCTATATGGCAGCGGTCTGCAAATAATCGTGTCTGAACCAGACAATCCAGTGACCAACAGCATGAGTTGATTATTGCGACAAGCATGGGTTGCTAAAGACCAATTATAACCCAGATCTTCACAGGTTCTTCCTGGATAAAGCAGGGTGCTGGGAAGCTATATCTCATCCAGTCAAAGAGGAGTATTGATCACAATATAGACACAACAACACGACTCTACACATAGCCTGATGTAGCTGTCACTTTACCTCTTGGCATACTGTGCCCCTGTTTCGTCCCCATATGTAGACAGCAGCAGGTCGGACTCATCCTTGGAGACGCTGGAGAATGCGGAGTCATACTGAGGGGCATAGCTACTGAAGGGTCCGTAGTTGAGGTAGGTCACTGAAGAGCAAGGTGGACACAACTTTATCACTCATCCAAGTATCAAACAGTTATGGTGATGGTGGTGGAATTGGGTTTAACGTCGTGCTTGAGAATATTTCGCTCATATGACGACATGCATGCGTGTGTATGTGTATGTGCGGCTGCTTGTACTAGCCCAGACTGAAGCTGGTTTTATAGTGCTAGCCCACTGAGATACCATGCCGCAGTGAAGCATGAATACCCCACTCAGACACATTATACTGACTCCGAGCCGACCAGTCCTTGTTGTACCCATTAATGCTGAGTGCCAGGCAGGGACCAACAAGTACCATATTTTAACGTCTTTTGGTATGACGCGGTCGGGGATCGAACCCGCGACCTTCCGCTCTCCCAAACAGTTATGGTATAAACAGGAGCACAAATGTAACATTTGAGAAACATTTTGGGATTAGGTTCAACACAAGAGGGATGTATTATTAAACAAAAGGATTAACAACACTACTCTCCGTAATGTTTCCAAGCTGTAAGCTAAAGATGAACGAGTGTCACAAATATTTTCCCACATCAAGGGAGATAACTTATCCAAATTATCTCCCTTGTTCTAGTTTCATAGATTTACATCAGAGGGCTGTTTCTCTAATACATGTCTCGTACCTGGAGATATTTTGTTTCTTTTGTCTTCTTTAAAGCCAGCCAGATTACCAGATCCTGTGGTCAGTTTCCCTGTCAATTCCCCTAGAGCAACAACCTTCTCTGTTTCACTCACTGGAACAAATATACAAACACAATGAAACTATGTAGCTTAATGATGCAATTTTCAGCAATATACAACACAATCCTGACAAGACAACCAGTGGTAGAGACGACACAAAACAATCCACATTGTCAGAATGCACCAGCTGATAATACTGGTCTGATTCTAACCCAGCTCTGCCGACATACCTTTGCCATCATTGTCAGGGTTGACCACTGTAAGAGTAGTAGCTCCATCCTTCCTTCTTCTCAGGAATCCAAACTGTTCAATATGAAAAATGTCAACTTAGTTTTTGTTCTATGAGTAATATAGACAAAATTGCTCTCATAAGAGCATAAGATTTCCGACATTTTATCTCACAATGTATTTTCTTAAAATAATATTGTCTGTTTACCATAAAAATGTGAGAGAGATATACTCGCATGCCAGTGTTACTATGGTTACCTTGCTCTTGTCTTTCCGAAGAGTGAGTTCCTCCTTCACCTCCTTGGCTGCAGCCTGGGCCTGGGCCAGGATCTGCTCTGGGGACATGTTGTCCGGAATGGCTTCAAACCGAGTCAAGCTACAACGACAAGCATCATGCTAAATATCCAACTAACATTCAGCGTTAACAAAGCAAGAGTAAATTCTTGTCATCTTCTCAATTATAATTCCACTCAGCTCTTCACTGAAAGGTACAAAGACTCAATTTGTCCCCAAAGAAACTCATGCTCCACAAGTTTTGGAGTAGTTTCTAACTGTACTCTGACAGTGTATAATTACACTACTGTATATTTTGACTTGCTTAGCTTGCAATTCTTTATTCACTAAATACATCAATAGTACATTCAAAACATGATACAAAACATTGAAGATAATTCTATATCAATTAAAGGCAGTCTCAACCTTCCAGGTAGAATTTTCTATGACAGAATGTGGTCATTATGTAACAGACATTTTATGCCAATCACATTGTAGTCTCAGTCTTCAAGGTGGGATGCTCTGTGGCTGAACCATCACACTGTATTCTCAACCATCAAATGAGAATGTTCTGTTGCAGAACTTGATGTTGTGTTCCTACATCGGCATTCAAGCCTCACCTCTTTGACTTCTGTATTTTTTTCAGCTCCTTCCTCCTCTGTTCTTCCTCATCGATGACTGTCACCATCTCGGCAACAGCGCCGTTCTCATGAAAGCCGATCTCCTCCAGAGTGATGTTGGCCATGAAGCTCAGGGTCTTCTTCATGTTGAATATCTTCTCCTGAGATGCAGAAACATGTTCAAAAGACTCAAACACTGGCATTAAATACATTTGTACATATTTTGTTTGTTTTCTGCATAACTCTATTGAAATAGCGACATTACAACTATATGGCAGTCAGCATGAGCAGTGGTAGGGTGTGTTCGGGTGAGATGTTCTTATTGTTCTTGAGGAACATAACACAGAATGATTCCCCTGTATCTTGGGTTAAGAGAGAGAGAAGCAAATTGTATGAGTCAGGAAAGGAAGGAAAATGTGATTCCACATTGTGAGTGAGTTGGGTTTTATGCCACTTTTAGCGGGGGACACCAGAAGTGGGCTTCACATGTTGTACCCATGTGCGGAATTGAACCCGAGTCTTCAGTGTGACAAGTGGGCTCTTTAACCATGTGGCTATCCAACCGCCCCATTTCACAAGGAGCAATAACTTCACCATAACTATACATGTAAGCACTGTTTCCTAACAATTGTCCATAGAGACACCATTTCCTGTATACTTCTCAATATAAAATGAGTTGCATTCTGTTCCAATTACTCCACACCCAAGCTCACATATTTGTGTTTGCTTTCTTTGATCAGCCACTGTAGATACTCAGTCCCTGTGTTAGACCCCCACAGACTCACTGACTTGGGCGATGCATGTCATTAGACCCCCCACAGACTCACTGACTTGGGCGATTCATGTCATTGTATCCAAACTGTGGCGGTAAACAACAAACCAACAATACTGCAGTAGTGTTTGTTTGTTGTTTAAGTTCCCACCCTGCAATATTCTAGCTGTAAGGGAACAGTTTGTAAATAATTGAATTTGGATCAGATAACCGAAAGACTGACTGAGTTTGGTTTTACGCCGCTTTTAGCAATATTCCAGCAACATAACGGCGGGGGACACTAGAAATGGGCTTCACACATTGTACCCATGTGGGGATTCGAACCCGGTCTTCAGCGTGACGAGCCAACGCTTTAACCACTAGGCTACCCCACCGCCCAGATAACCCAATGATCAACAGCATAGGGCTCGATCTATGCAAATGGGATACAATAACATGCATGGGTTGCTGAACACCAATTTTAACCCAGATTTTCATTGGTTGCAATAGTGTGAGGACCAACTCTACATGAACGCCAGCGAGGTGACACTTGAACTATGAAGGCTACAAGACCTCCTCAACTGTTACCTTGCTGAGAAGCTTCAGGCCTGACTGCATCAACCTCTTGGCCTCCTTGTAGTAGATAGTTTCCGGCCGGTTGTATGTCATAGCATTGTTGCACATTGTGATGAAATCTTTCTGAAATTCCAAATATATCAAACATAATCAAAGACCACAGGATTTGTAAATGTGGAAATTCTGATGCACTTCTGTAGGAAATGACAATGAAACTTCCTAAATTTAAAGGAAGATGTACATTTCATAGCTGACTTTATTTATCTGATAAGCAAGAAAAGAAAAATGTTTGAGTAAAATTGTAACCTCACTGAAAATGTTTAATATTCCAGAGTTCACATTTTGTTTTTACCTCACTGCATTAGGAAAGTTACAATGTTATAATATTTCTGGACATATCAAATTAGAAAATACAATTTGGAACAAAATAGTTATAATCTGATCCCCAATAGTTCGGCAAGGGTGGAAGCTGGACTTTTCCAGTCAGTTATCTCCCTTGCCTCAGGAAGATGCACTTATTCCCGAAGTCCAGACTAATCCCTGCATTACCTTGTACTCCATGACATTCGGTACTCGTCATCTTCAATCTTGGTGAGGATGGTGCTGAAGTCCATGGGGTAGGAGATGATGCTGGAGTAGCCGGGGGCAATGGCATCAGTCACTGGGTAGGCAAAGAAACCATTTATGTCCTTCCTGAAAAAACAAACACTGTCTGTGAATACACAATGCCATTTAGAAAGTGGTCAAATGTACCATATGTATTATTTGGGATTACGTTTTCTCGGTAAAGTACAGATTCTAGTACTTTTGTTGGGTTGAGTCCCGTCTGGGATTCGAACCCACACCCTCCAAGTCAGGCATCTAATTGCCAGCACACAAAGTTAGTCGCCTAACCTGCTCAGCCACCATGGCTTCCACAAAAATGGACAGCCGAAAGCTATGGATTAAATGTGTTTATCAAGAATGGCAATAGCATTAGTCACTTGGTAGGTGAATAAACCAGTCAAGTCCTTCCTGAAACAACAAGCACTATTTGGTATGATCTGTCTCTTACATATATTCAGGACAGATAATGTTAATCTAACACATCACAGTAAGCTTGTAAAACTGCCAGTTAAAGTATGCCAGGAACATGATCAACATTGTCTTACCCCTGTAATTTCTTCTGTATGTAGTGTAGACACTGTCTAAGTATAGCATTGCTGTCCTCGCCTTGGATGGTACACTGCCGTGGCTCCCTGGCATCATCCTGTTCCTCCACCTCCATCTTGACCGGTTCCACCACCTGGGGCGGGGGGACGACAATGTGAGGCTGTTTCTCAGGGGGTTCCTCCTGTGGCAAGTCTGTGCCCTCATCACCTCCCACATACGTCTCTGCCTTCCTCTTGCTGCTGCTGCTGCTGCCCTCCTGCGAACACATCAAGGAATGAAACGGTTTCAGCATGATAAATACATATTAGGGCTGCAAACAATCCTCTATAGGTCAAATATAATACAAATCACAAACATAGGGTAATGATAACGAATACTGGTTCATGAATAACAAGTCAGCAGCTGAAGTATTATTCATTATTTTCAGTGAAACAATAACAAACTGAACTCTTTGACATGTTTTGACTACGTTGACAGTGTTAGGTTATCATGACTATAGCTAGTTACCACATTACTATGAAACTGAACATAGACAACTGTTGACTATTATACAGCCTGGTTTCGAATTATTATTCCATGATGCATATCTCACTTTGACAAATAACACCTTAGTTCAAGTATAAACACTCCTACTTGAAAAAGAATCATGAATATTTGATTCTAGTGATCACTAATAATGAATTGAATTCATGAACATTTACGGTTCAATTCACTGAATATTGAAGTGAAGAACAGCCCTAATACATATGCCAGCAAAGCCTCATTTAGCTAAGTGAAACATGCATGTGTTCAACCAATTACTGAATAGTAGAACCCAGTACTTCAGTCCACATGTAACATAAGTACAGTCTAACATTGTTGTGTGAAAATTGAGTGAGTGAGTGAGTTTAGTTTAACGCCGCAATCAGCAATATTCCAGCTATATGGCGGTGGTCTGTAAATAATTGAGTCTGGACCAAACAATCCAGTGCTCAACAGCATGAGCATCCATCTACACAAATGGGATACTATGACATGTGTCAGCGAGCCTGACCACCCGATCCCATTAAACGTCTCTTATGACAAGCATCGGTTACTGAAGACCAGTTGCAACCCGGATCTTCACAGGTGATGAATACAGAAGGGACTAAGCTTTTATTTCGGGACAACCTAAGTTTACTGTATGTAAGGAGAATCAAACATATGTACCTGACTGAGCCTTACAATCTATGAACATGTTGAACACATTGATTACCACTAAGCTTTATGTGCCTTTCTACATCACTAATCCCTGTGTTATGTGTATTGTGTCATATTTTCTTCACATCATCAAACTGAGGGTAAGATTATGAGCACAAGTTCCTATTACATTTTACAGAAATATATTGCTAATCACTTTTTGACAATAATTTTCACCACGGTTGGTTGTATCAGTTACAGTCACCAAAAATAACCAGGAAAAATTCATAGATCTGACTGACTGACTGAGTTTGGCTACGCCAGCTTTTAGCAATTTCATTCTGGGACACCAGAAATGGGCATTCACACGTTGTACCCATGTGGGGATTCAACCTGGGTCTTTAGGCGTGACAAAGCCAAGCTTTAACCACTAGACTACAGAATGAAACTCATCAATTAAAAGAGTTTAACCAATTCCCAACACTACAGTCATCACAGTTGGTTTTGTCTAGAGCTACAGTGTCTTTACATCAACATGATGCTGATAAAGGCCATTCAAATTCCTTAAATGAAACCCTGATCTTATAGTGATAATGTTGTTGTATTTACCACACATCACCGCATATATAGAAAACCCATGTGTAACGCAGCCACCCTGAATAAACCTTCAAAATAAATGCTATGTTAAATATCAGTCCCCATCTATAATACGATCCTGAACAAAGCACATGCACAATCCAATTGCAAATAAAATCTTGTTTGTCTCCCTTTGTTTTATATGATACTAGGTCGTGTAGAACTCCAGCACTCCAGCAATTTTGTATGCTGACACGGTGCAACACCATCTTGTGACATCAACATATGACACCAAAAAGATCTGTCCAAATACTGAGGTTTGACAAGGAGAGTCTCCTGATATGTAATCCTGTGTCCACATGCCAGACCATCATATTCATCATCCTTATTCAAAACATTTTGTTGATGTTTACATCAAACTACATGGTATCAATGGTGAAACCTATCCTACCCCGTCATGCTTGTGTCTGTCCTTGTCTTTATCCTTGTCCCTATCCTTATCCTTCTTCTTTTTCTTCTTCTTATGCTTGTGCTTCTTCTCCTCATGGTGTGGTGAGTGTGTATACACATCCTGTATTGTCTCTGTGGGCTGTGAACCTCCAACTTTCAACACTAGCTTCAAGGGCTTCTCTACAACCTCCTGTGAATAACTCTCTGAAACAAACAAACAAAGACAGAGTAAGTATTGTTTTACTCTGCTTTTAGCAATATTCCAGCAATATCACAGTGGGGGACACCACAAATGGTCTTCACACATTGTACCCATGTGGGGAATCGAACACGTCTGCTGTGAGATGAGCAGGTGCTTTAACCACTAGGCTACCCCACAGCCTGTAAACAAAGAAAAATGACATACCTCTACTTTACCATATTTGCTACAACAAATGTTTCCTCGTCTCATCTTAAAAACATTTTGATTAGGGGTGTCACGAACACCAATCACGATATGATCATTATGATCACGATACATATCGCGATACATAATTTTCAAGCGCTTTTCATAGCATTACCTTACCGACAGCGTCTGGCTTCGCTGATTTGTCCATCAAAATAGTCTAGCCAATCACAAAAGCTGTTAGTTTCCAACCTATTTTTTAAGTAAAGCTAGCTACATCTATTTATCGGAGCGGTCTCGTATAATTTTACTATCAAGACTTAGAAGGAGATGGATATAGCATAAAAATTTGAATCGATAAAGTTTTAAAATAGGAATCGATACACGCAAGCATGTATCGCGTATCGTATCGTCAGTAAAAATGTATCGATGCATCGATACATTCGTGTATCGCGACACCCCTAATTTTGATATAATTTATATAATCACTAAGGCCTCATCACAATGATCACACTAATAGAATCATAGATAAAGCTATGTTTGTTTACTTTAAATATATTATGTAATATACAGCAACATTCTTGTCATCAGCAAGCTCATGTCTTGTCATACCTCATGACACAATGTGTAACAAGTACTTTGAAAATAACAAAGTTGTATCACATACACAATACTGCACTATATCATGCTATATCTTGTTTGAGTGGCATTTTAGAAGATGGGACATACAACACTGAACAAACTTCAGGGACAACAACTTCATTATTTCGTGAGTGCAACGTTTGGTTACAGATTCTTGTACCATTGTCAAGCTTGACATATCTGTATACAAACATCGCACTCACGAAATAAAGAAGTTGTTATCCATAAAGTTTGTTCAGTATCATGTATATACTTTATCCAAATTAAGCAGGAGAGTCAAGAGGACCTCACTGTTCATTTCAGGAACCGAAAAAGTGGGGGCAAAGGACTCCTACTTTTCCGGGGATATTTGATGAACACTGAATTATGACAATCGAGTACTATGATGACTGACTGACTGACTGACTGACTGACTGAGTTTGGTTTTACGCCGCTTTTAGCAATATTCCAGCAACATCACGGCGGGGGACACCAGAAATGGGCTTAACACATTGTACCCATGTGGGGATTCGAACCCGGGTCTTCGACGTGACGAGCCAACGCTTTGGGGGACAGACAAATATATAAAACAATTTAATAACCTATGTTTACTGAATGCTAAATGAAGAATTAAATATGTTGAATTTAATATATTGTACGTGAGTAATAATTAAATATGAGGTTGGAAATCTGAGAGCACAACACTGTGAGGAAATGGGTGTCTACCTTTGATGATGGGGATATTTTATTTTGATATTAAAATTATTTTTCGAACCGAAGCGAGGGAAGCACGTTGCCAAAATTTGCTCGCTTCACTCGCATTTGAGAAGATTGGTAATTCTCTCTTTGTTACGCAACCCTATTTGCTCTACAATTTGCCTGTGGTTCGGTGTATTTGATTAACCTTTAATGTTTTAAAACCTTTAATAAAATACCTAGAAAGCAAATCATTTTGTCAAAATCTATGCATTTCTTTGCTAGACAGACGCTATTTTCGATGGATGTTCTCACATACTGAACCGAAACGGACCAAACTGAAGGCCTTGTACCGCAATACTTCCGTACCATGGGAGTGAGTGAGTGAGTGAGTTTGGTTTTACGCAAGCAATATTCCAGCAATATCCGCGGCGGGGACACCAGAAATGGCCACACATTGTACCCACGAATCGAACCTTTCGGCTTTAACCACTAGGCTACCCCACCGCCCCTCCGTACCATGGGAAGAGCATATTGTTTTCCCCCTGTTCATCTAATCAGCCAATATTATAACCATAACCGATTCCCCTCCAAATATTTGGGGGCTGAAAGGGTGTGGGACAAGTCAACCTTCGCGGGGAAGAGACCCTCTTGATTACATTTTCCAGAGGGCAGCAATAACCTAGATATATTCTGGTCATCAACATTGTCTCCATTTAACGTAAAAAAAAATTGTACAAATTTACACTGAATTAGTTTTATTTATCTTACTAAAATAATCTCCTACCCTCACAACTAGGCCTATGGATGGATCACGTACAGAGCTAAACCATTGTATCATTATAGTAATAGGGTGTTCGGTAGCACTGGAACGAGGGACACGCTTGGCGCTGCACAATCTGCACCCGATACACTCTATGATCTATCACTGCATCAAAGTGAATGCGAGAACTTCAGTGAAGGGATCACAAACCCGATAATCTGTAAACCCGTCAACGATGTACGAAAAGACGCTACGGTTGTTCCCCCTGTTCACGTTGCTACAAATACCGCTAGAACGAAAGAAAATTAGTCGTAAGTGCAGAACTAATCTATTGTAAAGTATTCTTACCTTCTGCATCAAGAGATTTCTTTTCTGATTTGTGTTTCTTGTGTTTTTTACCCATATTTGTTGTTAAATCTAGTTCACCAATAAAGCTTTGTCAAGAAACCGGAAGTACCCGGTGTTCTACTAAAAGACGGACACTTCGGCATTGTACAGTTTTGTAGACTTTATTCGGTCTCTCGATATGATATTTCACCACGAGAGCCGGATTTACTGTCAGAAGTCCTCGTTCCTCGGAAAGAAAATGACAGAATGTAAACACATTTTCACCAAACCCCGCATTGTTACTGAAATGGTCACCTAAAAGAGAGAGAATAATTAAAGCTAGTGAATTTGTCTTCAGATAGGGCGGAGAACTGAAACACAATACTGAAACAAACCTTTTAATGATATGTGTATTACGGCGTGACGCCAAACTTATACTAGTCCTCAAAACTGAAGTGGTTGTATTCATTCTGCGTTTGTAAACACGATTTTAAGCGGAAATATTGACATATTATATATTTTTTTATTATTTATTTTTTTATATTATTATTATTATTTATTATTATTATTTTTTTATTTATTTTTTTTTTTGGGGGGGGGTATATTCGCCGCATGAAGTGGGTATTGACAACGGCAACCGTAAGAACACGATGATACCACCCCCACTATATGCAATACAATCCATTCTAACATTAACTAAGGTGCGCATCCCCCACGCCCTTCTGGCTCAGTCAGTGAATAGGTAGCAAATTAAATATTGTCCTACTGAACATTTTCAGTCTTGCTGTGGTGCCGTTTTCTCTATAAGTTAACCCATCAGCTGGGTGATTCAGTATATTTTTAATACAAACACTGTTTTTCATGGTGAACGATTCAGGGGACATATATGTTTGATACTGACGTGGAACTGTGACGTCTAACATCCGCGTTATGGTGAAGCGCGAACAATGATTACGGATGTGTATATAGGTTGAAAGTCCGGGTCGCCTCTGTATTGACTTCACGTCGCACTGGTTGGATGTCGGGCAGAGAGGCACTACTGCGCCCAACTCAACCTAGCAAAAGTACTAGAATCTGTACTTTACTGAGAAAGTGAAATCCCAAATATAACACGTTACATTTGATCACCTCCTAAATGGCATTGCGTATTTCATAGCTTTCGGCCGTGGGAGCGGTGCCAATTTACACTTATCAGAGGGGTACACAAAGTTTGTGGTCTAGACTACCAGTTGTCCGACTTCCATTTTTGTGGAAGTCGCGGTGGCTGGGCGGGTTAGGCGGCTGACTTTGTGTGCTGGCGATTAGGTGCCTGACTCTGAGGGTGTGAGTTTGAATCCTGGATGGGACTCAACCGAACTAATTAAAGTACTAGAATCTGTAATTTACTGAGAAAGTGTTATCCCAAATATAACTTGTGTTACAACTGTGCTTAATCATGCTCTGTATAATGGGCTGATGGCCCCTTTACCTGAATAAAAGCAACAACATATATAACTTTTGTTACATTTGTCCACTTTCTAAATGGCACTGTGTACTTATACTGCACCTTCAACTGAGTATTTGAGTTATATACCACAACATGTCCGAGCATGAAAGAGCATGATGCAATACACCGAGTGATAAAATACATATCAACCCTTAGACTAACGCATATTCTCTGTTAATATTATTTTAATTGTAAGAAATACCCCCACTTTATTGAACCGGGAAACCAGGAGGTGCCTTGATCTAAGAAAGATTTAGACTTGCTTCATTAAGGGAGTTTGCCCTTTTTACGAAATAGGCTGGTCGGAAGAGAGTTATAGTTCAGGGACGTTGACAGACTGGTCCCCAGTTCTAGCTTTGTAATCTTTACTTTGTCATGCTTCAAAGGTGAAACGGAAAAAGAAATATTGGAACGAGGGTTACCAGTGACGTGGACTGATATAAAACTAGTTCAAGGTCAGTGCGAAGGTTCTCTAGAATCATTGAATTTGCTTAGAATCCGTCGTGAAAACATACCAAACGACGTGAACAGGTACTGATCCGGGTGAAAGTTCCGGTTTAATTGTAAAGCTCATCACTTGGTCGAAACGAATCTACCACTGTAAGGAGTTATAGGCTGGCATACCATTCGGAGTATCTCGGGTATCTCCGATAGTTTACGTAACTACAATCTACAGTATAGTAGACCACAAATAGCCAGGTGGTAGTTCAGATTGCGTTCACGTTTGGCTCAGGCATCATTCCCACTGACAACGTGAGTGGGTTAGGAAATACGCTACGGTTTCCTCGAGGATATTTGAGGTCAAGTCATACTCCCGGAAATACACTGGACCCACTAACTAACAGTATATATACCATAGCCAGAGCCATCTACAGTGCTGAACACTGACGGAAGGTAATTTTTAACACACCTTTAGTGGCAGAATTATTGAATTTCGAAAAAAGAATCGAAACGCATAGAGAATACTGAATATTAGACTATAATACTGATAATGTTTAACCATGCTTCAGAAACAATATCTCATTGGACTGATTGTATTATGTAATTGTTATTTTATTCATAAATTAATTGACTTTCTCATCCATATTGTTTTTTTCAAAACAATATGTATTGCACTTTCATGAGAGAACTAAGCATGCATGGACGTCAAGCGCTCCTGAGTACTGTTAGCATGGCGAACAAGTCATTGGAACACTTGACTCCTCTGTCTAACTATGGATAACGCCACAAACAGAGGTGGCTATAGTTTGATGATAATATTTGAATGATTTCCCAAATTACATGGACACCGCGTTCCAATGTCATCCACTAACTGAAATACCCAGACGACAGACTGGCAACAGCCACCAGAGCAGCGACTGGAGTCTGAACTAGTGACACCTGCTGCTGTCAACAGTTGCATCATTGTGTAGTAGAGTAGCATGTTGTTACACAGGTTGGGATGGTCATGTTCAAACCGATGTGTGTCTTGAAACTGGGATCATGATCTATTGTTTTACAAAAAAAAGATGGACGATGGACTTTTTGGTAGATGGAGGCATTAACAGGACAGGAGGGGGGAAAAAGAAAGATAATGAAAGAACCTGATACAATAGCCCAAGTCTCAAACAGCAGGAAGGGGGAGATGTTGGCATGGCTTGAGAAAAATAGTTTGCCAGTTCCATTAAAGACACACTCTGACAGCAGTTGTTCAGAATGGGTTGTAGTCAAAAGGGCCGAAGGACAAAAAGGCCGGGAAAAAAAAGTCAAAACAAAATCAAAAGGGCGAAAATGAAAAGTCAAGGCCGAAAAAAGTGCCGAAAAAAATATGTAATAAATTACATAGTAAAATAGTGTAAATAGTGTTTAGTTGTTGTTATTGTTATTTTACATGGAATTTGAACATGAGACTCAAATGTTTTTTTACATGCAATGCAGAACACAACTTTGCAAATTCTGATACCTTTCGGTATGGACTTACAGTAACAAATTATCAAAAATGCAAATTCAACTTATAAAGTTGAAAAATAAAGCAATGAACACACACACACACACACACGGAAAATCGGAGTTCAAGCGATTCACAAAATCGGGGGTTCAAGCGATTCACAAAAATCACCCCAGCTTGAAGTGGGGTGAAAAGTGGTTTCAATTTTAGCTGTGCTGCGCTGCACTCATAGCCGACACTTGCGCAGTGAATAGGTTCGAAAATGTCGGATTAATGCTTGAAATGGGATGCCTGGATTATAAGGTGCATATCGAAATGGTGAGCAGGAGTAGTCTTATCTTAATTTTTTTCAATCCGAGGCTAAAAGTTAAAAGGGCACAAAACTCACGGAAAATGGGCAGAAAATTCCATAATATAAATGTATAATAAATTACATAGTAAAATAGTGTAAATAGTGTTTAGTTGTTGGAGACTCAAATGTTTTTGTTGTTGTAAGTTTTTAATCCAAAATCTAATTAAAACATGGGATGTTTGTTTTGTTTTGTTGTAAGTTTTTAATCCAAATCTAATTAAAACATGGGAGTCTTAACGTTTTTATTGTAAAGTATCTCGACTCAGTGTCTTAACTAATGAACTCACTTCAATTGACATGGACATCTCATCCAGTTCACACAAAAAGCTTATGAACCAAGCAATAAACAAAATCAATATTCCAGTTAAAGTTGTAACACCTAACTGGACTCAACAAATAAAAGGGGTTATACAACTAGACCCTACCATAACACAACTAGATTCTCTCGTCCAAACACCTAATAACAACAAAACACAAACTAAAATTATTTCTGCCAACAGCACTGTTCTGCCAACAAATATACCATTTGCGAAGTGTCTCCAATATGACCATACTCCAAAAACTTGTACAGAAAACCAACCTTGCACTAAATGCGGCAGAAATAACCATACATTGAAAAATGTAAAGCTCGTCTTTACTGCATCCATTGCCGGATATCAGGCCAATGAATGAACTTGTGTAAATTATGAACGAATGAACTTGTGTAAATTATGAACTTGTGTAAATTACCATTATATTAGTTTTTGTTAATTATGTGAACTTGTGTTAATTAAGTAAATTATGAACTATATGTATTGCCATTACATGAAAACTTAGGTACTTGCTTGGCTATTACCATGCCATTACCATTTTATTAATGTTATGATGATATTATGTTTCAATGGTATATGTGTCAATAAATAATGTACAACCTTTCTAAACTTTTTTTCTGTTCGGCCCATATGACTAGGAATAAGGCCCTTTTGACTTTCACCTCGGCCCATTGACTTTCACCTCGGCCCTTTTGACTTTTCCATCGGCCCATTTGACTTGGCACTTCTCGGCCCTTTTGTCCTTCGGCCCATTTGACTAGTTCCCAGTTCAGAATCAGAGTTGGATCTCTCTGATGATGACTTTGAAAAAGTTACCCACCAATCGATTGCGTCCGTATCCATCCTTTCTCGCACACCTGACTGTTCCTCTCTTTGCACTCCTCCCTCGTAACAAACAGTGAACTGTGTCAATATTTTAATGATAGTTTGTTAAACAACTTTTTTCTTTTTAGGACATAAATTCTGCAAAAACCTCACAGAGTTGGTTTGATGTTTAGATTATGATCAGCATTTCATTGAGTAATATTTGTTTATTAGTTTTCGAGTTCGACTGCAATTCATCAGTCCGCTTTGGAGCCAAACAGACTGTAAATGCCGATATTTATTTGGTCACTACCGTGCCAGCAGGAAAGCCTGGGTATAGTAATATTTTGGTCTTGTTTGTTTGTTTGTTTCTTCTTTTAACACTACACTCTGCAATATTTCAGCTGTATGTCGTCTGTAAATAATCAAGGTTGACCACACAAAGAGGTGATTGACATTATGAGCTTTGATCTACATATGATGTTCAGAGCTACAGATAACTTTTTGAGTTATTGAGTTATGTACTAGCAAGTCATTTCATTTGGGTATCCCAATTTTTCCTTTGAGTAACCAAATAAATTGACCACCTCACTGATGTTCGAGTATTTTTGCATTTTCCATTAATTGTAAAATATAATAAAGTTTAAACGTTGGCTTACGGTTTGATATTTATATTTTGATCTGTAATATAAGAAACTAAAAAAGACTGCAAGCAGTTCATGTGTTGAAATAGAACCTCTCAATATACGTCAGTTCATCTATATCCACCAGTCAAGATTTGACATTTTGTGTGTATCATGAATACAAATTTATTGAGCATTTAAAATTAAAAGCCGCTTGTAATAGTGTTAACAGGATTAAGTTTTCACATAAATATTTGCCGTGATAAATACGATTGTACCTCTGGATGTTGATTACAAGAGTCAGCCAAGTCAGTGGTCCTGAAGACACTGATGTTACGAGTCACTCAACAATCAAAATTGCACATTTGTTATTGCTCAGCATAAAACCCTCACTCACTCTCACAAGTATTATCATGAATACATGCTTATGAACTTACCTGCTACTGTTGTGTTCCGATGTTTGATTGGTCGTGGCCAAACACCAAGCAATCTTTTTCTCATAATCGAACACAAACGATTTTGGAACTACTGTTGTAGTGTTTGAAATCACTTTTTTTAAATATTTTCATTCAGTTCAAGAGTATACATATATTAACATAGTCTTTATATACACCATATTGGTTCAATCTAGATACATTTAAATGTAAAAAATCTAAATGTCAAATACATTTTCACATGTTTATACCAAAAGATATACTGAGACTGGAACTATTGAAGCATCAGTGGTCTCCATTTTTGCTCAAATTTATATTCTTTATTGTTCTTTGTTACAATATATCTTTCTATTTTCATTATCTCTTGGAGAGATTTCTTGAATTTCCGAAATACAGGAATGTTATGATTTATAAGATAATCTGAGTATTGGGAACCAATAATGATTGTGGACTTAGTTACGACAAAACCTGGTATTTTGTCTTTCAAAAAAGCTGAGACCAGAAGTTTTTGGTATGCTGACAATAATAATAAATAAGAATAAACACTTGACAATGGAACATATCTTAGAAGTTGTCAGGGTCTGAAAACATGTTTAATTCTTAGAAAACTCACTTCACTTACTGAATATTTCTTGAGTTTCTATTAGTCATCACTTTAAGGTAGCAAGTTGCATCATTTTACATTGGATGTGAAGTTTGCAAATGCAATTTCTGCAGTTTCTGAATAAAACAAAAAACAACAGAGAACCATGTTATCCTTATCTGCAATAACAACCTGGATAGGAAAATTTGAAAAATGATGCTAACCAATTTTTGTCGATGATTGCTGGTTGGTAATGAACCAATCATCAGTTGTGAGATTTCAACCAATTCCCAACACTAGTGCCCTGTCAGAAGAGCGTTCCCAGCACTGTGACATCGTCACTGGTTGGAATTTATGGTTCTGTTTCACAAAGCAACAGCAGCACAAAGATTATCTTAACGTCCATACTTTAACACGTAAGTTGGCAGTCTTAGAACTCAAATTGCTTTGTGGAATGTGCCTGTTGTCATCACCATCTTCATTATTCTTATTCTTTTTTTCATTTCAGGAAACATCTGCTAGCTTGTCACCATGGCCCAGATCTGCTGCATCTACAACAATGTGAATGTGTGCGTGTATATATTAGTGATTCTGTTTGGAATGGCCTCATGGATTGACATAAACGGCCTGTGGGTGGAACTTCCGATCCTTGTCCAGAAACTGCCGGAAGGATGGGATCTTCCTTCCTATATGGTCATTATAGTCCAGCTGGCCAATATAGGACCGCTCACCTACACGTTGGCAAAGTTAAAATGGACACGCAAACTGAACGAAGTCCCTGTTATTTATTTAATTATCGGTATAGGAGGGATTTCATGCTTGCTGTTGGCATTCTTGTGGGACACGACGTCCTATATCGCAGGGGCCATGCACAGTACCGCTCTCCTCATCCTCAACTTCTTCCTTGCCATTGTGGACTGTACATCTTCAGTAGTGTTCCTGCCGTACATGGCTCATTTCAAGCCAGAATATATCCCTGCTTTCTTCATTGGGGAAGGATTTAGTGGCCTCCTGCCCGGGCCTTGTAGCACTTGGTCAAGGTGCCGGGCAGACATCATGTGTGAATCAAACAGTGTACCAAAATGTCACCATCAATGGAACATCCATAAACGAAACTTCATTTGAAATCATTACCCAGTATCAAACGCCAAAATTTTCGATCGAAGTATTCTTCTTCCTGCTGTTTGGAATGTTGGTTGCTTGTGGAGCTGCCTTTACCATGTTGCATTACTGTGAGTTTGCAAAGCTAGAGCAGCTCAAGACGACGAAGGATGAAGCTGATGAGTCAACTGAAATCACAGCTCAGACAGACCTCACGTCCAGCTATGAACTCAGTGGTTCTACAGCTAATCCTGTAGCTGACAACTTCCTTGACGCAGCTGACAACATTAATTCCAGGACACAATTACTTACGGCGAAGAAACGGGCAGAAATTGCTATAGAGAAAGACATATCGCTGGAGGCCACCCGTCACCAGACATGCATGACAAAGACAAACTTCTTCTCCTTCCTATTTATCACAGCATGGGTGAATGGACTTGCAAATGGGGTGTTGCCATCTATACAGTCATACTCCGCCTTACCATTTGGCAATACTGTGTACCACCTGTCCGTCACACTAAGTAGCATTGCCAATCCCCTGTCTTGCCTTTTTGCCTTCTTCCTTCCCATGTCCTCTAACATTGCTATCATGGTACTGACTCTGCTGGGGACTGGCTTTGCTGGGTACTGCATCGGTCTTGCTGCGATGAGCCCTGACCCGCTGCTTGTTGGACATCTATTTGGAAATATTCTTGTGGTAAGTAGATATTATATTTTCCATGTATCTTTGTCATCTTGTAATTCCATGGCCCTGGGTGAATGTGGCAGATTGCCCCTGCAGTTTAATTATATGACCCGTGTAATCAAAGATTGGTGTAGTTTGTTACAACTTCTTCATGACAGATTTCCCTTTCAAAGCTACCTTATGCTTAAGTCATTAGATGATAGTGGTAGAACAACATGGGCATCAAAAGTTAAAAGTCTTCTTTTTAATTTTGGTTTTGGATATGTTTGCTTGATCCAAGATGTTGGTGATGTAAAGATGTTTATAAGCTTGTTTAAACAAAGATTATCAGATAATTTAAAACAGTCCTGGTACTCTTCCCTGAGTAATTCCTCCAAATGCAACTATTATCAGTATTTTAAATCAGCTTTAAATGTTGAATGTTATTTATCGTTTAACCTTTCTATACATTTAAAAGATGTTATTGCACAATTGAGGTGTAGTAATTTTAAAATAGCTGTAGAAACAGGGCGTTATAACAACACTGATTATAATCTAATATTTTGTACATCATGTAAATCTAAAGGTCTTACCTATATTGAAGATAAATTCCATGTACTGTTCATTTGTGAATCCTATTCACAACTAAGAGAGAGGTTTATTACAAAATGTGTTAAAAAGCCTTATACTGTATTATATTCTTTAGCAAATCTTTTCAAGAAACAAATGTAGACACTGTAAAATCTGTTGCCTTGTATCTATTTTATGTTAAAAGGATTATTATAAACACACTTGAATGATCATTGTACCCCTGGCTACACTGGAATTTCCTATTGAATGTATTTTGGGCCTACGGCCTTTTGCTGGAAACAAACTCTGTCTGTCTGTCTGTCTGTCTGTCATGTGTGTCAGTGGCAGTGCAATAATATTGTTGGGAATGAGAGCGTCGCTTGGGCATTCCAGACACGTATTATGCTATTTGAATCCCTGATTATGCTCTGGGGCAGTGGGGTAGCCTTGTGGTTAAAGTGTTCGCTTGACCAGGGTTCGATTCCCCACATGGATACAATGTGTGAAGCCCATTTCTGGTGTCCCCCACCATGATATTGCTGGAATATTGCTAAAAGAGGCGTAAAACCAAACTCACTCACTCACTGATTATGTTCTTGGTTTGTCAACACCATATCTATGGTCATTGAATTCACAAGCTGTATCTTACACGTTACACAAAACCAAATATGTTCCCATTGACTTCTGTAGTATATTTTTGTTTAATTTAACTATCAACAGCTATTACATGTATGTGTGCATAGTCTGGCCTAGAGAGGCAATCAAAATATAAAACATGACTACCTCAGCCATCTCCATTCTCGAGTACAGGAAGCTAAACAGACCAACGCCTGTTCAGCACAACATGTCAACCATTTGAAAAGACCTGTGGTCACGTTCAGGATAAGTCCTCTTGTAAAAAAAGACAGCACTAAATATTTAAAATATTGTCAATTTTAATTACTGGATTTTAATTTTGGATTGATATTTTCAAATAAGATAACTTGCACTAAGTGTCAGTCTGTCACTCACATCAGGATGAGACTAAACCACTCATTATTTTTTCTGATACTGGGGAAAGTTTGTAAGGACCACTTGTGTATTGCTACAAATTACCATGGTTATCGTGATACTACACAAACCTCAGGACCAAAATAGGCTGTGGACTAGTTAGATGAAGTTAAAGGTCACATGCAACGTAAAACACAACTTTGCAGATTCTGATACCTTTCGGTATGGACTTACCAAAACAAATCGTCAAAAATGCAAATTCAACTTATAAAGTTGAAAAATAACGCGATGAAAAAACACGCGCGAAACCGGAGTTCAAACGTTTCACTAATTTTCCCCCGACTTTTCTGGGGAAAACGGTTTTCAACAGCTGGGCTGCGCTTATAGCACGTGCGCAGTGAAGTAGGTTCGCGCAGCTTGGAAGCGGTTGTCGGGTGAAGGCTTTGGTGTGAGCTATTTTTCTAATGTTTTGTTGATATCTCAGGCGAGCTTTTATATGTTATGACAGTAAATTAACTGTTTATATAATTTCATTTGTCTATTTCACCACCGTTCTTCTTACCGAGTCACTTTCTCAGTTCGATGCTTAAAAGCAATGCCATTATTTAGCGTTGACAGAATTTCCAACTGTGATATAGATATGTCGTTGTCACAGACTAAACTCAATGTCTTGTTTTATTGACACCTGTGTGTCTGCCTGCCTGTCCGCTAATGACAATATTCAATACACAGCTGCTATCACTGACCACATGCAATTTGAACTTAACACCAATCAGGCTATACGCCATAAACAAAATGCATTGATTAATGGCCCGAGTTCGGTCTCTGTCACATTATGTAATGACACAGACAGGCAGGTGTGATACTTGAACACATGACATGTTATGATGTCTGTTGATTGCAAAGTGTTATACACAAAAAATGAGCATGTATTTACAAAACCCAACATCTCTATATACACTAACACAATGACCCGTGAGGGCATCTGCAAATGAACCAGCCGTTACACTTGAGTGCACACCCACCCGCTCTGACTGGGTTCGGCATCCCGGCTGCTTCGTTTCTTGGGAAGTAAAGCGAAGTACACAATATTGCACTTTTGATTTGCGATTGTACGCTTATAATTTTGTTTTGATGTTTTTTCATAACCAGCAATGTATATTATATGTCATGAATAAGTGATAATTGTGTTTTAATTATGTTTGATTTTTTGGTTGCATGTGACCTTTAAGGAAAATAAATTGACCACATCATTCACAGACTAATATAACCCAATCAAACAGCCCATTTCTAAGGCAACATAATGCCCATCAATGTCCACATTTAAGAATGATTTTTGTATAGCATTAAACTGGAGTTACATAACAGGGTGATTTATCACAGCATTTTTATTCGTCTGAAAAATGATAGTGTTCCGATGTTCAACTTATCATAGTTAACATTATTTACCATACATTCTAGTGGTAACCATGGTAACTGGTGACTTAATTACAAATTGCTGTAATTGGGCTTTGGCCAGGTGACATCAGTAACAGCTGGTTTCTTGTGATGTTAAAAGCTAAGTACAGTGGAAACCGCCTAAGTAAAGACCGCTTAACTAAACAGACCTGATAAGTAAACACTTTTCTTTGGTCCCGGCAACTTTCTTCATTAATTATCACTATTAGAGTCCGGTTAACTAAACTCGTATAAGTAAACAATACCGCTTAATTAAACGTCTTCTCACGGTCCCTGGAAGTAAATTACTTATCAAAAGAGACCGGATAACTAAATTAGCGATCACCACATAATCCGACATGAGGGGCAGTCGTGTCAGTCCCCAGTCAAACAAACATCCTACTTACAGCTCGCTGGCGTCAAGCAGTTGACACTGTTCATTGTTACATATGCATACATATACAATACCAGTGTAGGAAAGATAGCCCGTCCCAACGTCCGAGACGGGTGAATTTTGTGGAGGACGGGTTAAAAAAGTATCTAGTCCGTCCTCATGTCGGGTCAATTTTAGCAAACCAATGACATATATATAATGATTATAACCTTTTTGAATATTTACTGCCGAAGGTGTTTTATTTATATTTGGAGGACAGGCTAGATTTTGGCAGGACTGGTAAAAAATTTGACCTGCCAGTCCTGTGGACAGGCTAGATTTTCTACATCTTTCCTACACTGACAATACATGCATATGGTTGTCATTTGCAGGTTTTTATAAGTTTGGATAAGTAAAATACCTGGTAAGTAAACAATTTTGGCGAGTCCCTTGAAATTTTACTTATCAGGTTTCCACTGTATGTTGATTGACATTAAGTTAGCGGCCAGTTCACATATGGTTGTTGTATATACGATGAGCGAAGAAGATGTAACGTGATTGTTTTATATCCCAGTGTTTATCACAACGACTCAATCCACAAATGTCATTATTTGATGATGGACAGTCTGTGACCCAAATAAGCAAAGCGTGTTATATTTGGAATTAGACTTTCAGTAAAAGTGCAGATTCTTCTACCATTCTAGATTATGTCTCATCCAGGATTCAAATCCACATATTCAGAGTAAGGCACTGAGGGTGTGGGTTCGAATCCTGCATGGAGCTCTACCCCAAAAAGTACTGGAATCTGTACTTTACTGGAAAAGTTTAATTCCAACATATTACTTCTGACCACTTTCTAAAAGGCAGTGTGTACTTGATTCAGCATGTCAAGGTCACCAAATGCCTCATCTCATCATTGAAATGCATGAATGTGTTAAATTAATGATTACAGGATTTCAATAAAGGCAGGGATTGAAATAGTGCATAATTTGCATGCCATTGACACAGTAAATATTGAAATGGCACAGATGAAATATTTTCAGTGTGCCGTGGCAGCACGACTAAAATTATACAAATAAAACTCACATTGATTCATTTAGTTAACAATGCAGTAGTTTTGACCAACTCAAATTATTCAAAACCTATTTTTACACCCCATCAAACTGTTTCGTGATGGAACTCTTAGTCTCACAGCATAACATGGGTGTGGCCATTTGAATGCCAACCACATAACAGGAAATCCCATTTTAGATGATAACATACCTTGTGGGTTACCTTGAGGACAAATGAAGCTAAACAATTCTTGCATTCTTGATAGTGTTCAGGAATTTCAGCTCTCAGATTTATAGGTCTACATGTTTTTTACAGATTTATTAAACAATGAATTTAAATTACATAATTGTGATGTTTTAAGTTTAATTTGGTCATCTAAAGGTAAGGGTGCACTTATTTTCACAAAGGCACACATAATGCACCCTTAAAACAATTTCATTTCTATCTCTGAAAGGTGATCTAATGTTAAGGCTCCACATTCTGTAACGCCTGTGTGTCATATCACTATTATCACTATTACCTACGAGGGCGAAAATATCGGGGTTCATATTTTTCATACAATGCCTTTGTCATGGAGATGTGACGTCATGAACAATGCTATGACGTCACGTTTCTTCTATGACGTTGCATTCTACATTCAGTGACAGCGGGTAGACAGCCTGTGTTTGAAAGTAGATTTGGGTTCATTTTCCTCAATTTGACAACTTCGGTAATAGAAAGAACATTATATTCGTGCCCATGTCATACTATGTTTACGACACTTGTGCCTAAATATCGGTATATCCCTCGCTCTCACTCAGGAAATACCAACATTTGGCACTCGTGACATAAGCATAGTATGACGTGGACACTCATATAATATCCTCCATATACAGTGTATGGCCTATGATGTAGAAGAACAGTGTCACTGTCAGATGGACAGCTTTGCAGTATTATGTGACTGGTTTGGAGTACCTGGTACCAACAATAAAAAAAATGATAAACCTGAGCTTGACTTCCGGAAAGGTTCCTTCAATCATGAAGGAAGCTGTTATAAAACCCTTGATAAAGAAACCTGGTTGTAATGAAAACATCCTCAAATACTATCGCCGAGTTTCGAACTTACCCTTTCTGTCTAAACTGCTTGAAAGGGCAGTGAAGCTAAGACTCACATCTTACAGAGTGTAAACTTTATGAAAAGTTTCAGTCTGCTTATCGGCAAAAGCACAGTACAGAGACAGCATTGATTTCTGTTGTTAATGATTTGCTGTGTTCAGTGGACAATGGGAATATTGCCGTTCTCATACTCCTGGACTTGTCCGCGGCGTTCGATACTATAGATCATTCTGTATTAATTCAACAACTGGAGACAGTTTTTGGAGTAAGTGGTATGGCCTTATCCTGGTTCAAGTCATGTTTGTCTGAACGCTTGCAATCTGTAATTGTCAAAGACAAGTCATCGGAGAAAACACAGTTGTGTTGTGGAGTTCCTCAAGGATTGGTTCTCGGACCGGTATTGTTTACTCTTTATACGAGAAATCTTGGAGATGTCATTCGAGGGCACACAGTTAGTCATCATATGTATGCCGATGACACCCAGCTGTTTGATTCTTGCAAGCTGGATGCCTCTAGTGGACTCTTTAGTAGGGTTTCTAACTGTTCCGTGGATATAAAGAACTGGATGATTTCACATATGCTGAAATTGAATGCAGACAAAACTGAAGCATTGCTTCTTGGTAGCTCTCAATATCGATCGATCTCGAGTCACAGAAACTGCAATCCCAATATGCAACTCCATCATACCATCCTCCAACAGTGTTAAGACCTTGGGCTTCACCTGGATTTGGACCTTACATTAACGTCACACATTGACAACGTCTGCAAATCTTGCTATTTCCAGCTAAGAAATGTCAGCAACATCAGAAGTTCCTTAACAATGCCAGCTGCTCATGCACTTGTTAGATCCCTAGTGCATGGAAGTTAGATTATTGCAACAGCACCTACTACGGATTGCCAGAGAAACTCATCTCAAAACTACAAAGAGTACAAAACTCAGCAGCTCGCATTGTCAAAAAAGTGTCCAAGAGAGAAAATATCTCCCCAGTTTTACGAGCCTTACACTGGCTGCCCATAAGAGCCAGAGTGGAGTAAAACATCCTGAGTCTAGCCCACCAGTGCTATCATGAAACTGCTCCCGACTACCTCAATGAGTTGGTGACCAAACATGTTCCATCGAGAGCCTTACGATCAGCTAATCAACATCTATTGGTCATCCCAAGACGTAAACTAAAAGCCTTTGGTTTCCTCTCCTTTAGTTATGGAGCTCCAACACTATGGAACCAGCTGCCACTCTAACTCAGACAAACAACATCCCTTGATTCCTTCAAATGTGCCTTAAAAACACTTCTCTTTAGAAAATACTACACTGACTAACAAACATATCCCCAAAAGTTTCAACTATTTGTACAAATGTTTTTATGTCTTGTATCACTCAATCACCTTTATATGTAGCGCTTTGAGCATACATTTTTGTATGGAATCCAGCGTGGTATAAATACACATATTATTTTTTAACTCCAAGGAGAAATCACCCATGAAGATCCTGGTTAGAATTGGTCTTCAGCAACCCATACTTGTCATAAGTGACAGCGAACAGAATTGGGTGGTCAGGCTCGCTGACTCGGTTGATCACTGGATTGTCTGGTCCAGATTCGATTATTTACAGACCACTGCCATATAGCTGGAATATTGCTGAGTGCGGCATTTAAACAATAAACAAACCATCAACCATGGAGAAATCATGAAAATCAATGGATTCTGGAAGACTCAAGCAGGATGTGCTGATTATACATCTGGAATATAATCATTCTTGTGATTTTTCCAACTTTAAACATGGTATAAAAACTTCTCCATAATTTTGCATAATAACCTTGAGTTCCATCAGTTTTGCTTCATGAAAACTATTTTGGATATGGCTATTGAATTCCTGGCTGAGAATTAAGTGCAAAAACAGTAGCTTTACGTCATCACAGTGGTTTAAATGATAGTAATTCAATACTTGATAAAACTGGCTGCATTTTTTCCTGCCGGATGTTTTTCTTGTTGGTATCTGTGTATAACATGATGATTTATTTGTTTCTAGGTTGCAGCATGGTTTCTTGTCACTTTCGTGTTGACCTACACCAAGGTGAGCATTGCATCACTTCTGCGTGTTGAGGGGAAACGTGTGCTGCTGTGGTGTGGAGCGATGACGCAGGTCGGGTCAGCTGTTGGGGCTCTATCCATGTTCCTCCTTGTCAACGTGTTCAAAATATTCAAACAAGGCTCGCCCTGTCGTTAGCCAGGGACCTGTTTTGGGGACATATCACTATAGTAACAAATTCATCATATCATGTGCAGGCAGTCTTTTGGGGGGGCCATCCATTTTATAATGCAAGGAATGGGACTTCATGTTCTTTTTTCTAAGGTTAGGTCATATATGTACTAATTAATATACACTACATATTTTCAATGAAGTTATATAGGTGTTATAATCAGTGTCTTTTTTTCAATTTTGCACATGTATTTTAGCATTACACATTCCAGTAAATCCCTTTTAGATTTAGATGGGTTGTTTTTCAGAACAATTCCAGTAGTTACAGAAATGACAATGAGCTTTACATTTCAGAACAAACAATTAGCCCTTCAAGTGATTATTTATTAAAAAAATCAAAACAGATTCAATCTTCAAAGCATGCCTACAAAGGTTTGTTTCACAATCATTTGAGATGTTGTCAATGTCTCAAGCCTCATTCATGAAGATAAAATGGTCGGTCCCTGGGAGCAAAGAGTGTCATGTGTTATTAGTTGTTCTTGATGTTAATATATTTTCTTTTGTTGAGTGCTATACTTAATATGGCAGTGAAGACACTGAGCTTAGCTTACCATGTTTGCTATGTCAACAGCTCAGCTTCACTTCACAGGGTAAACAGCGATTTTCCAGATGACGTCTCTTTCGCAGTAGACATTAAAGACCTAATTTATTGTTTATTGTGCATACAAAGCCTGACTACAAGACCTGACACAAGAAATATTTTGAAAATATTAGAAATAATATGATAGGGCAATTTATTTGAAAGCAAACTCTTTCACAATTTCACAATCATATTATTTTATATCTATATCATTTCCCCAACCTAAACCAACAAGAGTGGAGTAATTAAAATAATTAGTAAATCTATTTACAAGTAACAAACTAAAATGTTTTTATGTTATGTAACATATTTTAAAAATTTTTTAGGTGAGGTGAGGTGAAATTGGGTTTATCGTCATGCTTAAGAATATTTCGCTCATATGACGACGTGTATGCGTGTGTATGTGTATGTGCGGCTGCTTGTACTAGTCCAGACTGAAGCTGGTTTTATAGTGCTAGCCCACTGAGATACCATGCCGCAGTGAAGCATGAATACCCCACTCAGACACATTGTACTGACTCCGAGCCGACCAGTCCTTGTTGTACCCATTAGTGCCGAGCGCCAGGCAGGGACCAACAAGTACCATATTGTAACGTCTTTTGGTATGACGCGGTCGGGGATCGAACCCGCGACCTTCCGCTCTCTGAGCGGATGCTCTAACCACTACACCACGGAGGCGGTTCTAAGAATTTTGAACGCTTAGTTATAGTCTTTAAATTCATTTCCGCTGAAGATCGACTTGTATTGCTTTGGAAATGCGTTTTTTATATATATTGGTACAGATAGACCAAGCACATAGACAGATAGACAGATTTCCACAGCACAGACAAAAATGAGATGATCTTATTAATTATTTCATGTTTGGATAAAAATTCTTGGTGGGCAGGAGAAAGGAAGGTTTTATTCAAGGAACTGTAGATGATATAATTCTCTGTTTGGAGAATGAAACCACTTCAGGTTTGGCATTTGAAATGAAAACATTGACAGACAAGATGCTGTTCTCATACTGCACATGTTTGTGGATGCTGACAGAATCTCCTGAAACTCGTGTCAAATTACCATCTATAATGTTACACTGTCAATGTTCTGCCCAGTAAAACATACTGCCTCTGTGGTCATGTGGATAGAGTGTCTGCCTAGAGAGCAGAAGTCGATGGTTTTCTCCCTTGTCCTTGTCAGTCCCCAAATCATTAACATATGGTACTTGTTGTTACCTTGGAGCTCAGGTTTAAGGGGACAGCAATGTCTTGTCAGCTGTCCGCTGCGAGTCAGAATAATGTATCTGAGTGGGGATTCATGTCAAGTCAAAGTCAAAAGATGTAATTGTATGACAGGCCTCCGGCCCATATACATGAGAGTTACAGTGATAAAGGAATATTTTGGATATTTACATAAGGGTATACAATTCGTTGTATAAGAAGATCTTTTTGCTAAGGCATGCTTTATATACAAAGACAATTGAACAAGAATATTTTCATTACTAGTATGTAACAAAGATATATATGCATAATGAGGTTGCTTTGCAAGAAAATGGTGTGGTATATATTTCTGTCTTAATTTGTGATAACAAGCACATATCTATGTCAAACTGCAACATGTTGTCTCAGTGGGCTAGCACTGTCTGCCTTCCGTTTGAACCACTACAAAGCAGTCACAAACTCATGCATGTATCCATGCTTTCATGCTATATAAATACACTAATCTTGAGACCATAAACCCCTTTTCACCTCTCTTCCTGTTGGGGTAGCCTAGTGGTTGAAGCCTTTGCTCGTCACGTCCAAGACCCGGGTTCGATTCCCCACATGGGTATAATGCGTGAAGCCCATTTCTGGTGTTATTACCTACCGTATATTAGCGTCTATAAGCCAAAATTTGAGGACCCCAAAAAGATGTCTGTAGAAGGGGGTCGTCTAATCTATGAGATACAATTTCACGGAAATATATTTTAGCTTGCCAGTGCCCTGCCAGGACGATGTTACAGGTTACCGGTACATCTGCTAGGATGTTTGCCACGATTACAGCGTTTATGTTGTGAATGATGAATAAAATACATATTAACCTGTACGTATATCCATTAATGGTATAGTGTTTGTTTGTTGACATTTTTTGAGGAATCGTTTTTGCCCACCTTTCTTGAAATGTTTGATCAAAAGACTTGCAAACAAGGCATAAAAAATCAAAGGTCTATTTGAGATGTGTTCATAATTAGTAACACAAAGGGTGTGATATAGTCTTGACACTGTTTATGTCACCCCACACTTGACCATGGAATACAAAACTACCGGTCCCTCCTATTTAATTTCAAGGGTCCTTACTGAACATGTGAGAGTTCTGTAAATTATTTAAATGGTGTTGGCTACGGAATGCAACAATTTGATAATTACTTTAATTTCAGAACCTTATTTTCAGGAATTTGTACAATATTTTTTATAGTATTTTTTTATGTTTTGGGGTAAACTAAATAAAAGTCACTAAAATGTTTTACTGTCTATGCTATCTATGCTTTTTACTATTCGATACATGTGCACATACAACATGTACTTGACTTGCATTTCTGTGTCATGTAAAATCCTGTCACCCCTAATGCTTATCATGTCAACAGATGTGCTGATGAGTCAGCATTTGTCCAGGATCAGCCAGGTACAGAGTAGACTGCCATTCAAACCCTGAAACAAATATATACAATACAGCCTCACAAATATAGGTATAGACCAGAGACTTGGAACTTTGTACTGCTCACATGATAGGGGGAAGTGAGACACTTGCCATATGAGATTTCTCTTCTATGTGTAGTGACTTACAAGATTGTGGAATCGTTTTGCACTGGAATAGTAAAATCATCTCAGTAAAATGTACAAACATATCAAGTGGGTATCACTGATGTTACCATGATTTTATATCACGTAGATTTGTACATGTTGTGAGGTACTTCAAACTTGCTCAGTTCACATATGAATATCATTATATCACGGTCCCAAAGTTATATTTGTACAACAATTGTCATAATTCAGTGTTATCGTATCAGGTTATTATCATCATAGTACTAGGCCGGTGGGGTAGCCTAGTGGTTAAAGCGTTAGCTCGTCACTCCGAAGCCCCGGGTTCGAATCCCCACATGGGTACAATGTGTGAAGCCCATTTCTGGTGTCCCCTGCCGTGATGTTGCTGGAATATTGCTAAAAGCTACGTAAAACCAAACTCAGTCAGTCAGTCAGTCATCATAGTACTCGATTGTCATAATTCAGTGTTATCGTATGGGATTATGATCATTTCAGCACTGAGAGTTATTTGTGGGTGGGGGCCTTGGTTCAGCAAACATGGTTACTGTGATATTTCTCCCTATGAAACAAAGGAGGCTATGGTACCACTTATCCATAGTTGCTGACTCAGAATTAAAACGTGATGGTATTTTCCACCCACTGCACTGTTATAACCAAAGGATATAGCCTGATTGATTAAAGGGGCTCTGATCTAGAGCAACTTGAAGGGAATGGTTGTATCATTTGGGGGGTTCTGTGTGTACCCAGATGATATCCCATATTACTTGACTGGTTTGTGACCTCTGCAACCACCCCCATTAAGTTCATTTGGTAGAATAGAGCAAATCCTTACATTGATCAACAAAGATTAAATACAATTACATCCATAAATGTTCACCTTTTATGTGTATCACTTCTAAATGCCTTTCAAAGACTTTACCAGCATGCACAAACAGTACTGACTGACTGAGTTTGGTTTTACGCCGCTTTTAGCAATATTCCAGCAATATCACGGCGGGGGACACCAGAAATGGGCTTCACTCATTGTACCCATGTGGGGATTCAAACCGGGTCTTCATGCTGTTGAAAACGAATTGTCTGGTCGCTTTTAACCACTAGACTGCCCCTTAGTGCGCGGTAAAAATTAAACTCTGCATTCACAAACAGTAGCTTTTGATAAACTGGCTGTGCAAGATAACAGGTAATAATCAAAGTATTATCGGTTGATTGTTTGATTGTTGTATTTTTAACTCACCTTATGATTCTTCTCTGGCTCCCAAGTGCATATTACTTAATGTGATACATTTGACACATCAGACCTTAATTAATAATGTTAAGTAATTACCCCAAGATAAATAATCCTTACCCTCATTTTCTGTAAATAATTGTAGGTACACATTTACATAATATTTTTGTATGTACTTTAGCAATGGCAAAACAGAGGTTAGATTACGGTGACAAGTAAATCAAATGTGCATGTTTAATATTATAGGTCAATTGACATGACGTTATTACATGACATGATTGCATATTAAGGTACAAAACACAGGCATGGGATCCAGATCAATCTCAGCCATCTTATCTTCTATGTATCAGGGGCGGTGGGGTAGCCTAGTGGTTAAAGCGTTCGCTCGTCACGCCGAAGACCCGGGTTCGATTCCCCACATGGGTACAATGTGCGAAGCCCATTTCTGGTGTCCCCCGCCGTGATATTGTTGGAATATTGCTAAAGGTGGCTTAAAACCAAACTCACTCACTCACTCTACATATCAGAAATGTGAAAATGCTTACACTGCTGTGATACTTTATTAAAATCTTACTAGAACCAACAGGGATATTTGATGATAACTTCTCCTTTTGTCTGCCTGTTCAATTTGGAGAAATTTGCAAGCATTCTTTGGTTTGTTAGGGATAAATATAAGTAATGCTCAGAAACATTGTTTCATGTCACACCCAAAAATTCCGTTCAGGGCAGCTAATGAGACCACGGTGGCAGTGTTAGACTG